ATATAGTGCTCTAAGGATAATCACCTGGATACTACGCGGATTGGCTTCGTCTTGGGCGACGGCAAAAAGAAAACACAGCAGCGATGACAGAAAATAGCAGACGATCCTTTTGATCATGGAGAAAGCACCCGAAGAACGGTAATGTTAATGATGACGCGGTGTATTTTGAGGTGGATCCACCAGCTCCTTTTACTCACCTTCGTTTTGAGCTGTATATTGAGATCAAAATTACTTACTCCTTACAGCTAGACATAAAAAAATGTGTTTTTATTAATCAGCGCGATCGCTGCAATTCTAGACACGGTGCCCTAAACGCATATATTCCACGCATTGTAATTTGCACCGATTATGTTTTGCAGAAATATATTCCACACGGTGTAGCGGTCCAGCGCGAGGGTGCTTTCTCCAGAATATGAAACTCACGTTCGCTTTGACGCGAATGTGATTACAGTGAAATTTTCGAAGCCTTCACTGCTTTACAAACGTTATCCTCTCATACACACACTCTGGAGGAAACAAAAATATTACATTATCATATACCGAGTTCAAACATTTTCGGCCTTGAACGTGAGATTACGGCATTCCCCCAACGCCGAGGACGAGGATGCGGAGAAGCTCCTGTTTACGCTCGCACTCAGATAATAACAAGTACGCGTTCCCGGGGAAGGTGGACGGTCTGGTTATAATGCAGTCAATTCCTGCGCTGACAACAGCAAATCGCAATAACCACACATGCTGCACCTAATTATTTGTCATTTCGAACGTCCGCCACCAAAACCAACGGAGCAAGCGAGCTTTGACGGCTGTCGGCGCAGAAAGCAGACGACGAACAGATCACGTGACATATTTACTCGATTTGATCCGACTTTACCCCCCGATCGAGGAGGGTAGCGCGAGTAATTACTCCGGAGTAAACAACCCGTTTCTGGAACGCGAGTTCTGACGTCATCGAGTAAGCTCGAGTAAGTTTTGGAACGCCACGGTACGAAACTTTTACTCCGGAGTCGGATCGAGTAAATTTTGGAACACAGCCTCTGTCTGCGCAAAAAAAGAGTTGCGCGGCGCATTCGTTTCTTACATCTTTCTGCATGATCATGATCAAAACAACACGTGCACCCTATTTTCAACCACAAAGAGTCACTACACGTCACTCTTACGCGGTTATTAAAACCATATACGAACATAGACTTTTGATCAGAACTGTTTGCCGCTACCACCGCTAGGGCATTCTTTTCGGCTTCTGGTTGGTCAAGAGAGCATGCCAAGCCTCTTTCCGAGTCAGACGCACGCCCTGGCTCTGCCCGCACCTCCCATTGACCAAACTCTCTCAATACACGGCTTTTGACACCGTAAGTGTGACGTCATGCGTCCAAACAAACCGTTGCTAGTGTCGTTGTTATGGACAAATACATGTGGCTAGGATTCGCTACGAAAACCCGACTGCATGTTCAAAAATCAGGAGTAGGATTTAAACTTCTAAAAATCGCAGATATAGAAGAAGTGTGCCGGAAACCGCTTGTTTCTGAAATATTTACGACTGCAACTTCCGGTCCTCAAGATGCCTGCAGCAGACGACGAATGCAAGAAGAATGCCGTCTGCCACACGCCCGTCGGCCAAGCCGGCGCCGGCGTCTGGATCGGGTGAATAAAGACGATATTCTGATATTGCATTTGTTTGAAATATAGTGAGCTTCAGACACGTATAAGAATTCATAGTAGGGTGCGATGCAAAATATGGTTTATCGAAAGTCCGAGCGTCGATCGAGATGATCGTCTGCTAAAAGATCGCAATGCACCCGTACGTGAGAAAAGACTTCAGGGGACCGGTAGATATCCCAAATTTTGTTTGCGGACTCGTGCTACGGGAGGGTGCTTTATACCTGGTTGTAACCATCGCGTGGACAAAGATTCTTGCTGTTTCTTCAGATTTCCGCAGAACCCCAAAACGCGGAAGGACTGGATAAAAAACATAAGGTGAGTTTATTACAGATAGTACTCTCATCGCGGGTTCGATGGAGATCTTCACCGAAAGAGAACATCCACTAAATTTAATGTATAAAAAAAAAAAAGCAAAATCGCGATAGACATGCAATATTTTAATAACCTGACAACCTCAATAATAATGATAACAAACGACTTACCTCGACGGCGTACGATTTGTTTCTCATGCTGGCCTGCACTACGCCGGTAATACACTTCAAGTCGTCGTCGTAACTGATCTGCATGCCGTGGTTTGATTTGACGGAATTTTCGCCCCTCTGAACTAAGCTGGGTTCTTCACAGAAAAAAAAAAAAAAACGCACATTGCGGAGTCCTTTGCGGCCATGGCGATGCACTTGCTTGTGTTGCTCGTTTACGGACGCAATAGACTACTTCCATAAAGCCCTGCATGCAACACGGCACGCGTTGCACTCTGGGAACTAGTTGGCCAGGGTGGAGGGTGGCATGGTTTCGGTTTCGATCGACACGTCGACAAGAGCTTGTTTTCTGGTCCCGAGAGCGTCATTTGTGGTCTCTAAACTAACCTAAATGGTCATACCTCGAAGCTTTAGCACAATCCCGAGACGTATAGCTTGTCTTAACACATGGTTGTTGTATTTTTGTACTTGAGCCTTCCTGTTAGCGTTCCAATCGAGGTACGTGGACGAGCCAGTGCTGGGAGTCTCGACGCCGCGAAGCTCGGGTGCTCGGGGATCTTGCTTGTGTACGAATCAACAAGCTGTAGCAAACAATAAGTATGCATACATCGAGCTCGCGCCTTTACATTGTTGTTGTTGATCAGGAAGTTTGTTTGCTTCGTGCATCCATAGACGAAATATTACTTTTTGCCCCCACCCGCTTGCATTCCACTAATAGTCAACATCGCGTATGCGCATAAAGTTATCCTGCAATCATATAGGCAAATTCGCGCATACAGACCGTTTTAAGAATGCAAGAGTCGAGCACTTGTGTGAAGAATGTCGCACCGTTCGCCGGAAGTGCGTTAGACAGGCATAAGCCCCTATGCGCACCGCATTGGGGTTCATGCCCGTCCGGCGCACGGTGCGACATTCTTCACACAAGTGCTCGAACGAATTGAAAGCGCATTTGACGGTTGCTAATGGCCATAATATTTGTTATGTGTTTTCTTTCGTCCTGCCTGAGTATGCCGAGATAATTTCAGACACACCGTTCCCGGCATATATCTCGGGCGTCAGTAAAAACTCGTCCAAAAAAGCTTAGCGAGGAGTAGGGGACGCTTTTTAGGGCCTCCGTCGTAGCTAGCCGATCTCAGCGTTTGCGAAAAGTTAATCTTCTATCAGCATAAAATTTGAGTGGGAGATATATGATGACACGAGAAAGACATCATAGTAACTTTTGTGCAGTAGTGAGGTCGAATTTATTGCGTTTCCTTAAAAGTTCATGCGTAAACGCTGGCCTCAACTTTGATACCCTGTGAGGATGCGGTTTGCTTTTCGCCCAATGAAGTAACAAGGAGAGGACGTTTGGCAAACAAAATGCGTGTAAGGCTCCAGACGAACAAATTTCAGTTGTAGTTCACTGGTACTAGACGGGATTACTGACATTGAGCTCAAAGATACACTCGTGGGGTGAGGTGACTAAGCCACGACTAACTACGTTCGCATACGCACGCACAATATCCGGTGTTTCGGGAACCAAGGAAAGTGCCCCGGCCTTCGTTTTGTATCGCTCGAGAATGAGTGTATTGTACGTTCGTGAAAAGTCAGATAATCGAAAACGCAAGCAGCGTGTTCGGTCGCGGCGTGATAGCATGAGATGAAGCTGCTCAGTCGAAACCGAAACTGAGTGGCCAACTAGTTCCCAGAGTGCACTGCGTGGTATTTCGCCGCGGTGAGGCGCGTCGGTTTTGGAACAAGTCCATTCAGTGAAGACGCCCGCTTCAACAGAGGCCTGCAAATCTATCGTGTCGTCTGCTACCAAAGCAAAGCGGAGTGCAGTATATCAGAAATGGCTTTCATCGTTGCAATACGACGCTGAGATGACAAGAACATCTTCATAATTAGATATCAAGAAGTTAGGTTGTTTAGAAAAAATTATTTACTCACTTATAAGTGAAACTCTAGCCTCGTGTGGAGCCTCCATGCATTAGCCCTTAGCAACATCCCTAGCAACGGTTTGTTTGGACCCAGACGCCATGTAGTGACGTCATAACTTACGGACTCAAATTCACGTTGGTTAAGGCTGTACATGGCCTCATTTTATCACTTCGTATGACGATTCTTTTAGAAGAAAAACGGTGGCGACATTTTTCGCGCCAAGACAGCCAAGACATATAAAATGGCTCCTTTTGGCCTGTGTTTCGGCTACTTTCACCAACCGCCCAACGGCAACACTGATCCGAGCCTCCAGCTGCTCCCAAAGCCGGTCGTGCTCCCGCCACCACCCGCTACAGCGAACGCCGACAGCTTGCGGTGCTTTCCAGCCTGTCTCCCCACGTCCTGCATGGCCAAGCTCCTGGAGATAATAATACTCCGCCGAGTGGACCTTGAGTCCACCGGCTACTTCCCCGTGGCAGGCTTTCGTAGACACCTCTGCACGGCGAACCCCATCATAGACTTGTGACAGAGCTCGAGTGCGCCGGGCTCGTTTTGCTGGACATTGGCCTTCGACGCGGTTCCTCACAACACCATCATCAGGGGGGCTATGTTGCGCTTTTTGCACTCCCAGGAGACTAGGGAGAGGGAAGTGACGTCAACGACACAGCAAACGCAGATTGGGTGTTGATTTCGTTTTCTTCTGTCAACATCCAATCTGCGTCTGCTGTGTCGTTGACGTCACTTCCCTCTTCCAAGTCTCCTGGGAGTGCAAAAAGCGCAACATAGCACCCCAAGGCTGCCAGGCAGGCGGGCCTCGCGGGAAGAACCCTCTCAACTCCATCGAGGACTACCTGCGGGGCCGCACCCTCATGGTCCGCGTTGGGGACGTGCTCAGCTCACCGAGACCGGTGACCAAGGGGGGGCCGCAGGGCGGGCCGCAGGGCGGGCTTATTAGCCCGCTCCTCTTTAAGCTTGCGATGGTGTCGGTCGTGGCAGCCATCGACCACGACCAACCTTCCCATCCATCGAGGTGTCTATGCTGACGACGTCGCTCTGTGGGCTTCGAGCCACAGGGGAAGACTCCACACACGGGGGAGGGCGCTCCAGAAGGTCATTGACAATGTTGCTTATGCCGCTTCCCTTGCTGGACTAAAGCTCTCAAGCAAGAAGTCTGTGTCCCTCAACCAAAAGCCAAGACATGTCGAGGAGCCGTGGCAGCTGACCCTGTACGGGCATGAGGTTGAGACCACTCTGACGTTGACGTACCTGCGACTTGTCATCGACCAGGCGGTCTCCTGGAGGCCAGCCGTGACCACCTCCACTGCCTCTGGTGTGTCGCAGACTCCCACTGGGGCACTTCCACTGCCATGATGCTGCAGCTGTACTCAGAATATTTCACTCATATCCCCTCTCCCCCAAAGATAGTTAGCACGACTCTCATCGGAGTGAGTCTACAGGACTATTTCTTCTTTTCCAAATACCTTCTCTCTCTCTCTCTGTTCTTTCGGTGATTTCGATAGTGCTTCCTTGCTCTGGCTGTTCCTCACGCTTGATCTTCGTTTGCCATGTTCACTTCTACATCTGCGAGGAATCATGTTGGTTTGAGCGTCTCCAACTGTTGAGAAGGCAGTCATCGTCATCGCAGACGCATCCCGCAAGGTTCGCCTCGGTCTTCTTCCGAACAGTTCCGTACTGTTGCTACAGCAACTAGTGGCGCACACGGCGCCCAGGCATACAAATGAATGCTGGTATGAAGACAAACTACCATACTTACTATCGTACTGCGTCTGTCTTCAAGCTGATATTTGGTTCAAATAATACCTTGTGGATGTGTGTCGGCCCTATATGGAGTGTTGGCCGGCGGCCTTTGTGCGCCTAACCATCCAGGTGAGAAAGCGAGTCGGTAGTGCAAAGCCATACTCCGCTGCGGATGCGGAGAATAGAACCATTGCCGCTTGTCGTGGGGCGCTCCAGAGCCAAGTGATCGCATCCATCTTCGGGCGCGACTGGCCGAAGATAGTGAGTGCCGCCGAACCCCCTGAACAGCTAAAGAGAAAGAATCAGGGTGCCTTGAGATTCCCACAGGGCATAGAGCGTCGATGGATGACTGCTGCTTGTGTCATCATCAAGGTTCAGCGTCATCGGCTGGTAAATACAACATTCCCTAACAAAAACCTTTATTGTGACAAAATACAATTTATTATAGAAAATATTGATGCTTGGATTAGCAGCATAGATATCACTACAGAATTTTTCCAGCCCTTCGAAAATTCGGGCAATCTTGATTCAAACTCGCAAATAAGTTATGATTTATTCTGCGCTGTGAAGTTACACCGAACACTTCAACATAAACTGCACTTTCACATGCACGTCATGTTCTTTTGTGTCTAATGTATTGTCTCATAGTTTAGTTGTTTACGTGTTCAGTACAACTTCACAGTGCAGTGTACCTCATAATGTAAAACCAACTAGCCCAAAGCCAAGCATTGTTAGTCTTCACAAATTAAAAAAACAAACAAAAACCATTGATCCTTGAATTTTGTGGGAATTGCCACCACGAGGGGTCCGGACATGAGCGAGAATGCGCAGCCATAGGGGTCGCCCTTTTCGGAAGTTTATTGAGGAACGGAAAATAGAGGGCTCTGAGCGGAGGTGCTCTCACGCACTTCCCCATCTGTCCCAGTCGCTCTACGTAGGGGCTGAAGTTTTGCTGCCGAAGTGTACTAATTCATCTGAAGAAGAGTTAAGCTCTTTCTTTTCCAGCGTTGACCCAAGGAACGTGGTCATGGTACACGCAGCGCCATGATGGACTTCCCCAAGCCAGACACCTGCCGCAGCCGTCCAAGTGTGTGGTGCCAGTGTCCGAGTTAGGCATCTCACACCGTAGTAATGTGTGCGACTTGTAAATATTTCTGAAAGATGAGTCACACTCGCTTTCCATTTGTCAAAATTATTAGTTGAAATTTAATTACATTCGCTTAACTAACACTTATCTTGTATTTGCCCTGGTAGTTGAGGTAAAAAAAAAGTTTTATTTAGTGTTTGCCTCAGAGCCTGGGGTCAAGGGTGTATTAAATCATCCAACCCACATTTTAAGCATTAGAAGTGGTCATATACACAAAATTTTGCTGTATTAGTGCTCTTGTCATTCTTGTTCAGGGTGTCTATAGTCGATGGTTAAGAGTGAAGTGGGCGCTTCCCAAACCTCTTTCCACTTTAGCAGAGCTGGAGAGAACGCGACATCCCCTCTAGCATTTGCTCTGCCAGAGTGGGAAGAGGTGGGAGGAGCTTCCGCTTTCACCAAAACCCTGGATAACGGAAAGTTGTTGGGGGATTTTAGAGTCTGAAAAAGTTGGATTTTCCGCTCCAATCAGCATCGGCCGGGGAAATTAAGCTTTCCTTTCTCCGAGCAACTACAGACGACGCATGTGTGGTGCGACACTCGTTGCTTGCGACTCAGCTGGCGTGCCAACACAAATTTCTGCTCGGAAACTAGGGTTTTGGCTGAACCCAAGTCGCATCCTCTTGAAATGTGCGCACCAAGACCAACTTGTCTCCTGGCGCTCGCACTAATATGTTTGCCCAGTAATTTATTTAGAACGGAAATTTTTGTTCACCGAGAAATCTAGAAGAATTCTCTGGGAAGGCAATAGGATCTTGTGCTTGGCCACTGCCCTGCTTCCCATCAGATATGCCTGTGTTTTCTGCATAAAAACTGCACTTGAAATGTGTCGTGTCCCCTTCAGGCCCGTTCACACTCTTGCGACCTCTTAAAACTGGGTTCCTTAAAACCTCTTATAACGAGAGGACACACTAGCGCCATCTATTGGGTAGCAGTGTAAACTTGCGGTCCGGCATATTTTTTATTTCTCTCGCGCATTATCCTTTCTTTCCTGGCTCGAAAAACTTGTGTCAACGTTGTAAACGAGCCTTTCTTCTAGGTATTAGGCACATTTTACCTCGGAAATACTGCAAAACCTTCACTCTTGTGAAATGCAGTTCCAGGGTCACCGCATAGATAGCGCCAGCGTGCCAGTGTGTTCTCTCGTCCCAAGAAATTTTAAGAGGTTTTAACAAGTCTCGTCTCTCTCGGTCGTACGAGTGTGAACGGGCATTTAGGAGCTGGTCAGGAAAGTTTTATGAATAGTCGGGGAAAACCCGGAAATGTCAGGGAATTTGGAAACCTAATTTTGGTAGACACCTTGTTGTTGCTGTGCATATTTTTCTTCAATGTACTCAACATTCCAGTTTTGTTTCGCATTGTGTTAGCCTATGGTGCCCATTTGAATTTCTGTCATGTGTTGTTTTATCCCCAGCAATCTTCCGCTTACTTTCGCAATCAAGCTGCTGTCTCGTCTACTCACCCGCCCCTTGCAAGTCGTTTCTCTGGACACCCAAGAAAGATTGGGTGAATGGCACGTGGCTGCCTTAAAAAAAGTCCTTCCCACCAACCACAAGTTTTTGCAGTGGCCCTCTTTACTCCCTCGCAACAGCATTCATTCAACGTGGGTGTCACCCGGACTGCTGCATCGATCCCCATTGTTTATCCCTGCAAGTGGTTAACACCCCATTCACCACAATCCTAGGAACAAAATATGTGTTGATGCAGTTGTAGTATCACAGTGTTGCTCTTGTCTAGTGCTTGAAACTACCAAGACCTGAAAGGTTCTGCTTCGGTCACACAGTAGCATGTGTTTTCTCGAGTGATGCACGACTTTGTGTTGACTTTTTTTTTTACAGTATCATTTTGAAGAAGATCCAAGCATTGGACTGGTTTACCGCAGACTGTGACGGTGCCCTACAGCAATTTGTGCAATACTAGATTCCATAGCTTCTCTGGTGGTAAAAAAACGGGCTATAATGATGCGTGCAGTGCTGTCAGTCAAAGATAGACTGAAGCAGACTGGAGCTTTGCATTAGTGCGAGAGTATGTTAATCTATTGGCATTTTTTTCAAGTGTGATCATTTTTGTGTTGGAAATGCTGCTTTGCTTTTTCAGTCCTTGTTTGTCGACCTCATTCACTTGTTCCTCATTTCCAGAATGAATTATTGCCGATATTCTGACGTGCCTCTGCCACTGTGTCCTGAAAGTCGGTGCACCATAGAATCATTTCGGTGTGCTAGCTTAACACTTCCCGTGCACTAGGTCAGCAAACAGACTGGGAATCTGAGAATGTGAAGTTTGAGCATTCCTCTAAATAGAGGTAAAATGTGGAATACAGTGGAACCTCGTTGACATGTTTTTCAGGGGAGGGGGAAAAAAATGTATCATCCGGGAGAACATAAGGAACAATAACGCCCTTTGGGGAGCGCTAGGGATGATGCAGAAAGCAAATGTCACTAGACAATTTTTGTAAAATATTGCGGAATACTTGGAATTTCCACTTGCCGTTTCGAGCGACTGATCCATGGGTGAGCGACGGAGTTCTAGGCCTGCGTAGCGGCGTTTGCCGATGTCCCCGTGCACTAGCGCACACCACCTATAGGTTTATTCACACAATGCATCTTGTCGGCGAATCTTGTGTCGCAAAACTAGGTTTCGGTAAACAGATGCCCCATATGAATGCGACAAAAAAAGTGGGGGATCCGGACAAACTGGTCCCAGACAAAATGGTCCCAAAGGCAAACCCGGACAAAATGGTCCCAAGCAAATCTGGAGACATAGTTTGCTTGTTCTTCGGTGGCTAGTCGACTGTTTGCACTTGCTGCAGATGGGACTGAGAAAAAAATGTTTTGCTGAATACTTAAATGTGAAACGCTAACCATTTTACAATTTACATATTTAGTGCAAAACATTGCATGCCAGTAGCTGAGCCAAGAAGGGAAAAGTATACTATAGCAATAATATGGAAGTACACATCGCGACACTGTTAGCGCGAACACGACATCGGCGGATTTTCAAATTTTACTCCTAAATAGTATTAGCGAGCACGAAATTTTATCGCCTACATTATAGAACTAAATGAGCTCTTTCCGTAGCAATAATAACTTGGATGACATCCTTTAGTTTCAAAGAGAAAAACTGGAAAAACCGGCGATCGCTTGTTCGCGCTAACAGTGTCGCGCTCTGTACTTATATCACAATGTGTCTAATATCTGATATATTCAATATGAGAAGAAACATGTTCCGTAACACGCCATCTTCCAAAACATATTTGAGGTTTGTGTTTACACAGTGTAAAGTCAGTCTGCCTTTGAGGAGCGGCAACACTGGCTTACCCTGCAGGCGAGAAGTTTTCCCGGTGCAGTGCGCAATACACGCCTGCACGCATGCAATCACAAATATATAGTATGTGCATGATGATGTCCGAATCCATCATGTACATACGTTTTCTTGCAGCGTCATTGCACTAATTCGAAATTATGAAAAATACTGTCGGATTTCGTTAAATTTTCTTCCTGTAACTATACTGTTTTTTTCTCTAAAGTCACAGTGCAGCTGACGCTACAATCTGATGGGACCAATCAAGCAGTGCTGAAAACAAAATGCACTAATGGCATTTGTCCGACTTTTTTTGTGCATGTTATTACCAACCAGTCCAATCAATTGCAAAGTGCATCACGACCTTGCACTTTTAGTGTGCGCGTGAGTATTTCTGTAGCGACTTCCAAGCTCGAGCTTTGTACACTGCTCAGGCTTATGCGAAGAGGGGCCATAAAGCCAAGTGAGTGATAATAAAACTTATTCAGCTTTTGGGCTTTAGTTATTTTCTTAAATGTATTAAAAAAAACTTAAATACATTAAGAAATGTATACATTACATGTGTGTCGAGTACAGCTTCAGAAGAGCAGTTCACTAAACTTTCAAAAAGCACCCAAAGTGTCAACAAATCGCTTGAGGCTATTTTGTCCAGGTATGCGCTTGGGACCATTCTGTCCAGGACCATTTTGACCTGAACCATTTCCTCTGGGACCATTTTGTCCGGGACCATTTTGTCCAGGACCAGGTTGTGCACGCTTTTCGCTTCTGGAGCGTTATTTTGCTGAAACCTCACCAAGGCCTGTCAATCACACGAAGGAAAAACTCGCACGCTGCTAATGGCTGCTCGACATCACTATTACCTCTAACCTTCAAGTTTGAGCAAACCTCTGGAGGGGCCCGATTTTTGGCCGATCCCGTATCCAAGCCAAAAGCGGCCAAGGCCGACGAGAAAATAAACATCACAGTAAGCTACAGGCGAAGAAGCTGTGCATACCAATGATACGGGCAGTATGGGTCGAGTTGCTGTGCAGATTCTTCCAGTTGCGATGAGTGCAAGCACTGAATATAAACATGATGATGTGTATGACTGATTTTTAGCGGTGCATGAATGTCCGAAATACTTCGAGATCATCCGCCTATTTTTTTACTTATTAATTAAATTACAAATAGCGCTAGGACGAGGACAGACGAAGAAGTGGACAGGACAGGCGCTAACTCACAACTGACGGTTTTATATACAACGTTAAAGAAGAAGGTGAAGGAAGTGTCTGGAGTTGAAAAAAGAAGAAAAAAATTTGTCTTTTTCTAACCGGGCGCTCTAAGAAGATTGTTAGACTAGGAAGATTAAAACACAGCAGACCAAAACGAAATTAATAAAAATTAAACAAAGGTAATGATTTTGAACTCTATACGATACTATTCTGAAAGGCCCTTAGAAAATAACCCCGGACCGTGGGAGACAAATCGAGAATAAAAATATTGGATAAAAATTAATAGAAAAAAGGTGATCGTCCAAAGGCCGCCGATCAGTGCCTCGTACAGCTTATTTACCTTTTTACATCCAACAGGCACCACAGCCAAAGCTATAACGGCGCGAGCGCATAGACCCACCCGGTGCACCACCTCACGCGCTCACGTGCAAGCGTGATTATGTATAGTGGTTCAAGTACTGAACCTCTTTGTCCGTCAACGCCAAAGATGATGCAGAGACGCATTTTTCTCCATTGGCTTGTATGGTCTGTGCTTCATAGATTTCCCTGTTCCTCTTTTCTTTAAAACGTCCGATCACTTTTGTGTTTGAAAGCAAAGGTGTGCAGGAGCAATCTCGCACATGCATGGCTAAATGTCCAGAAGGTGTAGACTGCAGGGTCAGGGCATGTTCTCTCAGTCGTGTGTTTATGCAACGTCCAGTCTGTCCTATATACACTTTCCCACATGTGAAAGGGATTTCATACACCACTCCGCTGTTGCAGTCGACATACTGGTGCTTGTGGTTTATGTTGCATTCATGATGTTGTTGCTTGACATTGTTGATTTTTGGGCACATTCGTTTTAATTTATCCGGTTCGGATAAAATAAACGTTTTACGTTCAAGATCTTTCCCCGGTTTGGCAAGCCTAGTAAACTGAGTGAGCTGAATCTGACAATGAAGTTTATCGAGTGGTATTGATAAAGCAGGCTCTCTCTTCACACTGTGCATACAAAAATATAAATAAAAATGTAAGGCGTTTACAAATCTTGCGAAATTAGAGTGCAGCTCTTGAGGATGAGAAGAGGAGGGTATGCCCCTCCTCTGCTCCTCCTTTCCTCTCATCCTTCTCTGTACCCTCCCCTCCTCCCAGTTTCCTCGCTAAATTTAGCTGGAAAATTGACACTATGGGACTTCAACACAAATTCAGCTTCCTCGCTAAATTTAGCGGGTAAAATGACGTGTCTGTGTCGCGTCACCCATGAAAAAAAATCAGTTTCTCCGCTATATGTAGCGGGAAAATTGACATTGCGTGTCCTGAACACCAATTCAGTTTTCCGCTAAATATAGTGGGGCAGTTATGCCAACAACGACGCTGCTTTTGCGAAAACTGGCGCCCAAGAGCTGCGCTCTAAAATTGTTGCCAGACTAAACGTTCTTCAAGTGAATCCGACACCAAAAACTTGTTTTGCCTGTAAACAACAGTACTACTTTTTTCTTTTTTTTGAACAAGCAATACAAAAATTGCACATTGTTGTCTTTTGTGCATTGGCTGGTTTAAAAGAAGCTGCAGGAACTGTTCCTGACTGACACATTGCAGGTTCCGGTAGTCCTCTGGGTCCATGTCGAGAAGCTTCTGTCAAAGCTTGTCTAGCACGCCACAACCTTTCCTGTACATCCATCCAGCTTTCATCCGGCAAAAGGCCCAACAAGGTTAAGCAAGATCTTTTCGTCCCTGTGGTGTACTCAAGTGTTATGTGCAAGTGCGCGGGAGGACATCAGCAAATGCCCCTCCGCAAGCCCAGGACTCCATCACTTCTAGACCGAACAAACCTCTCGCGGTGTTCGTTCTCGCTTGGTATGTAACCGCAGCACGCCACAAGTGTTTTTCGTCATAATGCAATAGCGCCGCACCCGCAGTGACAAATGCCGCATTTGGTCTTGGGCGACTGTGAGCTGTTGGCGTCTCGCAGCACTGTGCAATCTCAAAGTGGTTTGATCAATCCTCGCTGTCGTCCACTCATCTCCGTGTGAATGCGCTTGGGAGGCAGACGATCCGCGGGCGTGTCTTTACGTGATCAATCCGTTTGCTGATCGGTTCGTCGTGTAGATCGGCCGGTGCCGTCGACGCTATGTCGGCGGCTTTTTGGACATATGAACCTGGAAAGCAAAGGCACTAAGCAGAAAATTACTACATGTGTAGGTGGTATTCACTGGATGCCATATTTGAGGCCACTGCTCACAGCGCATGCTCGGGAGAAGTTGTCCGTCAGCTTTCCAGCAACCACAAGAGAAGGAAAAACTCTTCTCACTGGGGCTCTCCTTTGTGTGTCCAAGACTTCCATAGGCGTCGCTATTCTCCTTCTAGAAGATTAATCCATCGCTCAAAATTCTTACAAATGCAGCTTTCCTCTCTCTCTTTCGTGGAGGTGCAAAAGCAGCAGAGAGCTCAGCTATGGCTGCCAATGAATACACATATATTTCTATGGAAGCTCCACGGGATTGGCACTTCTGGACGTAAAGGCTGGGAAAATGTAGAAACTAAGAATGTATCGAGGTTCCACTGTACCTAGTTTCCCAAGTGCCTACCACATTTTCTTTATATAAAATGCCTCATGGTTCGTTCTTTACACGTTTCTCACCTGGATTACGGATGCACTCATTTTACTTTAAAAAACAAGTATGTTGATGTGTATGTGCAACCAGTCTAGATCAAAATATTTTCCACAATATCTGTACAGCTCTCGCATGCCATCTGTATTAACATCTTTTTGTATGCAGCCGAGATAGTCTAAGGTTGGTATCCCTGAGAAACCATTAGAAGTTGGGCAAAATATGAGCTCAATCAACCTTTTCTAATGTTTTTATGCCAACAGTTCCGGTCCAGACAACCCGGCAGGGCCATTGGGACACCGTCAACCTCGGAAACAGCAACAGTGAGCCTTGTCTCCTGAACATTGGGTTGGATGGGCAGCGACCCCAGGGTCAGCCACAAGGAGAGGACAGACACAAGTGCCGTTTCTGCCCTTACTCTATCATCTATATAGCTCATGTCGCCAGGCACGAAAGGACGCACACGGGGGAGAAGCCCTTTGGCTGTCCCATTTGCCACAAAGCATTTTCCCAGGGTGCCAACTTGCGCGTTCACGTGAGGACCCACACGGGCGACAAACGGTTCCGATGCGACATCTGTCAGAAGGCGTTTGTACTAAGATGTACCTTGGCGCGTCACAGAATGATTCATACCGGGGAAAGACCCTACCAGTGCAGCGTGTGTGGGAGAGCGTTTGCACGCAGTGGCACCCTCTCGGATCACGAAAAAATTCATAGACGTATGCAGCTGTAACATTGCGAGGTCCGTCAGAAAACATTAGCATGGGGGAGTGATGAAAAGTACTATGAAAGAGTAGAAGAAATACAGTAAACCCTCGTTAACTGAAAGTCATTGAAACTTGAAAAAAATTTGAGATAAGCGGAGTTTCGAAATAAGCAAAGTACCGAATTTTCATTGTACTACATTGTGCAAATTAAGCCCTTCCAACAAATTGTGCAAATTGACTTGACTCAGGCAGAGGAGCCGGGGGAGAAGAAAACAATCGGAACAAAATTGTTAAGAACCGACACTCGCAAAATGAAACAGCAAAACCAGAAAGCAAGCTTGCAAAAAAAAAGAAAACCGAAAGAATCCTCAAAAAACACAATGAAAGGGAAAAAGAAGGTTGAGCGTGAGGAAGGAAGGGGGAAGTAAGACAACAAACGTCCTATCCTTGAGGCGTGCGCTGCTTCACAGTGTTGCCGCACTCATGACATGACTTTTTTTCTTTTTTGCTAAACAATTTTAACAAAATTAACATTGCACGCCCGTGCAATGATGCACGATGTTTTGTGTGTTTGTTTTCGGATTACTGTTTCTTCCTCAACCAATGTTTAGGTCACCAGTTAATTTTTTGCTGGGCCCTGCCTTGTCTTTTTTTATAAGTTGTCAAGATTGAGATATCCGGGTGGGTTGGTCCTAAAAACTTCCGAGATAAGCACCGAGTAAATGCATTGTGGCTATCGGAGTTTTTTCCATAACAAGGAAATCTTTCGGCTTAATCGGTATTTTGATATAGCCGAGTCGAGTTAACGAGGGATTACTGCATACCGTATTTACTTGCTTAATGAATGCACTTTTTTTCCCAAAAAACTGACACGTATTTGGGGGGTGCGTTTATTACGCGGGGTAAACTTTTTGCATTTACACCGCGTATAAATGTCATATTAGGTGCCAATATCACACGGCAAGGTACTGTAACACGTCTCCACTGATGAAGGTGCACTCATAGCTGGCCGGGCCACGTCACAGTAACCATGCTTTATAAATTGCCGAACAGTTTTATGGAGCTTTTGGCGTGCCTTTTGCCAAAGGAAAAGCGCTCTATGAAGCTCACTCAGTTCAGAGAGCAATGCGACTGTTCTTAGGCCTAACCACTTTCACAATTTCTGTCCGAAAGCGGACCCAGAATGCGTGTTTGTTGACATCATCTTGCGAAATCAATGGTATGTGAATTATTGTGTAAAAATGGACAATTTTGTTTAATGCTTACTTCCTACCTAACTAGGACTTCTATCAGTAGTATCCACTTAGTTTTGTGTAAGGTCAATACTTTCGATTTGTTAAATTTATGCTGGACTGTGTACTCGTGCACAAGCACGCAAGTGTTTTTGTGAGACTGATTAAAACGTATGAAGGCTTTATTTGTGAATAAACTTATTAAAAAGAGTGTCGTAAAATGAACTGTACCACATGTCAGAAATATAATTGGCTGTTTGAGGGAACTGCACAAATCAATCTCTTGGTGCATCATGCTCGGGTTTGCCACAGAGGTGCCCGATGGTGGAGGACCTTGTGTATTGAAATTGCACTGAAGAAACAAGAAGTTGAAATCCCTACCTAGGGTCTTTCTACTAATGAAAGGCGTTTGACTGGTGCAATAGCCAACAAATGGCATCACGCAAGATTGCAGGCAGCCACAACCGGCACCTTGTTCAACCTCTGCGATAGCAGACGTTCCGAGCCAGATGCGATCCACTTTTTTTTGAGGCAATACTCTTATTCTTGTCAATAAAACACTAAAAAAGAATGATGCCGAAAATCGCTGCTGTCGTTACGCCGAGTCTCGACGAATTGCGTTAGCATTTAGTGCAAGGGTTTTGATTCGGCGAAGGATGGGAATTGCAACCTCGCAATGGTCCGCATACTGTCATCCACCGGAGCGAAAAAGCACGGCGGGACCCACGAAACCGGTCCAGTGCAAAGCAAAGACTGCTGCATGCACCAGGCCAATAAATGCTAACACATTTAAAAAAAAAATAAATGCAAAACGAGGAAAACAGATTGTATGTCCTGTTGGTGTGTTGTCGTGATCCGTCAGCTGGCATTGGAGACTAAAAAAACCTGTATGGTTGGACTTGCTCTCGTCTCTTATGCCTCTCCAATAGTGCTGGCCAACTCTTAGGAGAGTCAGGAGAACCTCAAGGACAGAGAGTCCCCTGCCCTGAACGGCAACTTGGGTGGGGGCGGCCACAGTTGCACTAGGATATGCGGCCGCTTCTCTCCTTTCAATTGATGCCCGGCACGAAAGGACAAACTGGAAAGAAGCCCTTTAAATGTCTGCCGGGGAGCGTTTTCCCGGAAGGACCACTTGCAGAATTGTGTAAAGCCATTGAAAAGTGAGGCTTGTCCGAAGGCACGAGCTTTTGGCTTGCTTCGTTACAGAAGGATTCATACATAGTGTTCATTCGGAGAAAAAACCGTACCGGTGCAGCGTGCGTCGGACGCTGCACCGGTACGGTTTCACCCTGTTGATATGGGATTCACAAACACAAGCTGCTATGAAAGCTGCTAGAATAATGTTAACGCGGGAAAGCCATGTAAAGGGCTATCCAGAGGGGTAAAAAACATCTGTCCCCCAATTCTTGTGGAGAACGCTTGTCTGGGAGACTTCTTTAGTTTCACTGTGACCCTCGCTGCATGACTGATGCTCTTTTAGCCAAGAACTGCAGCAGGAGAAGCAACTCCATAGGCGAGTTTCATCAGTTTTGTACAGTTTTTGTTGCAGTTGCCACCCCATGAATATCTGCAGTGCCTCTGTTCTGGTGCTATTTTTTTTTTAAATTGATTGGCCCTTTGCACAATTTGGTAGGTTCCGACTTCAAAATATTTTTTTTTTTTACTTGGGGATGTCAACATTCTTGTCAGGTAGATACCTTAAATCCTACCCTTAGAGTTTTAAAAGTTCTATTTCTATAAAAGCAATCGCTGAAAATGCCAATATTGCCTCATTTTTTATGTATTACCAATCTCTTTTCCCACTGTTTCAGTCTGGCTTTGTTATTTAGTGGTTGGTTTAGTGGACTGCAATAAATTCTTCCTGTAGTTTTAATTACTACTAGATAAGAATTCGTCAAACACCAATCAACATCATCAAGCACATTGTATTCAGCTTCCTCACACTTGTCAGTAATTGACAATGGTAGTATACTGCAAACTATTCATTTTTTGCAGTGTCAAGTTTCATGAATATTAGGAATTAAATACTATCGTAAGGAACCTTACCAGGCAAGTGTATTCTCACATTTTACACAATGACTTCTCATTTCAAAATATTCCAACAAAAAGCATGCTGGCGATTTCGCAAATTATTAGGCCCACAGATGCATCCTTGTTCACATCATCGTGGTATTGCACAATTTTGTTGAAGCCTAGTTATACAAAGAAAAGCTCGAGTAAAAATGCTTCCAGAAACGGTTGTTCAAGTGGTACTGTCTCAAATGGTACTGTCGAGACTGGTTATAACGAAGTCGACGGGAATCGGAAACCACTTCGCTATATCCGCTATTTCGTTATAATAGACTTTGTTATAACAAGTCTCGACAGTATGTCCTAAACTTTTTTCCGAGTCGGTAGATTTTGCGCTATTTGGGCGCCAACAGACCAAAGCTGGCGAAGCGGAAACGTTTGAAATCGGATAGTCAGCGAGACCAATGCGACTTAGGCAACACTGCTTGAGCTCAAGTTAATGCCAGGTTGGGCTAGCCCAAGTGGACTACTTATTTTTGGAGTGGGTGGAAAAATCTGGTGGTTCGGCTATTCCATACCAGGGTGTTAAACCAGGACCGAAACGAGCCAAAAACCGGAACCGTTATTTTTAGCCAAACTGGAACTGAACCAAACCGAAATCTTTGCCGCCATCTTGGGACTGAACCGGAAAAAAAATACAACGGTAACCAGTTAGGAACGGTTCACGGTATTTTTTTATCACAAAATTAACATTTGGGAATACAAAACTGGCAGCTCTATTTTTATGCTAATTGTCGTATATAGAATAGAGTGATCTCGGCAGCCAGTTGGGCTGCGCCACCGCTGCCGGAATGCATCGAGGGAACTTGCCTTTCTGCACTAGCGACAACCTCGCAGATGTGCAGAGCTCCTTAAAAGCCCCAAGCCCGCCACGTTTTGCGGGCGACTTTGTGTCATCTGGTAAGTGGAACGGGACCCGGTAAGGGTTCGGCTGAACTTTTCTGGGGTCTGTGAGGGTATACATTGCCACCGCATAGCCGCATCACAAGCACTACACAGAAACCACCAGCCCCAGTTGCCTGGCCCTTCCTACGGCACGTGTTCCCTACCGACAGGCAAGCTTTAGGCAATCGCTTTTCAGACATCATGGCCACTGGTCCTTGGCTTCATCAATGTCATTGTACCCACTGCTCTCGTTGCGTTGGTCGGCACTCACGCACATGAGGCAGCTCCGCCGGCTCCGCAATGTGCTGCGGCCCTTGGCTCCAATTGAGATTGTAATGCGTCGACGCCTCCAAATGGCAAAGCTCAAAACAACGACACGGTTGTCTTTGCACGACATGACGCCAAGGCTGCGCCAGATCTCCCGAGATGCATCACTCTCTTCGATGACTCATCTGGAAGCTCTCGCCAGACTCCCGGCATTTAGGATGACAAATATAGCTATCCGTTTAAAATACTACCATGCGATTATTATTTGCAGGTTTAACTGACCCTCCGACTTATTTTTCGATGTTTTGTGTATATTTTAAGTTTTGATTCAGTATTCCTTCAAGATTTATGCCCGTTACTTCAAGAATGTAATGAATTACACATACAAATTATTCAGCCTTCAATGTGATGAATTACAGATATTAATTACAGCGTACAAATATTCAAATGCTTTACTCGTTATACAAGTTACTTTCACATTCTATTGCTCGGGTACTTAACGAAATAAATAAAACGTAAATCTGTAATACTCCTTTCAATGTTTCCAAACTACCACCAGTTTATTGTGCAATTTCTATACCTGTTTTCACCTCAAGAAAAAGCAAGTTTTGTGCATTGTTCATACGCACTGCAAAGTAGTTCCTACGAGATTTGGTTGTCGGAGGAAAAAGCCATGCTTTTGGCATTTGGAGCACATAAGTCTTGATAAGATAACATATATCTAATCTAAAATTCACCTACATAGCATATCTTAGTTATCAACATGGGTAATTTCGTAACGCTCTGCAAGGAGCCAAACTTCTTTCACTACAATTCTTGAGAATAAACAGTGAAAGTGATACAGTATATTTGATCTCATTAGTGGGTAGCAACATTAAAAATGCCATAAAAGCTCTGCCTCGTGCACGCATGTTGCCTTCTCTCGTGCTTTGATTATGTGCTTGCGAGACTCCGTACTATTACCCGAGGCAGAAAGCCACGAGCTCAGGTTTGGGCACAGCTTTGGTTGTGTTGGCACTTGCACATACGCTAACATTTTCGGATGCCGCACCTTCGTTCCCACGACATTCCCCAGACCGGTGGCAATCAGTTCGTTACACGACATTTCATTCACAGTTTGTTTCATCGAGAGGTGCTCGCACTGCTTTAATCGATGCATCTTTCGACATTTTGTCAAACGCGTTTCTCCGTGTACGCTGCTTTGGACGCTGGCATGCCGGTGGTAGCCTAGCTTGCCAAACACTCGGCAGTTCCAAGGAGGCTTGCCATAATCTCGATTGCGAGTTAATAATCGATTTTCCCCGAGCGAGTGCGCAGGCACTATGGCACAGTACGAAACTTCAAAACACAAGGAGACTGCTCAAAAATAGGTGCACAAATGCAACTTCGAATGAAGTCGGATTAAAAGGTGCTCTGCACAAAGATGGCTGGTCCCACAGAGAAACAAAATCGTTAGAAAACATTTCAGAGTCAGTTCAGAGGAACAAAATAGTACACCATCATCTGCCACAGTGAGGTGAATTTGTGAAGTAGAAACAAATTAATTCTACGTCACTTTCCTCGCACGCACGGGGCACACTACCCAAGAGCAGTTGATCGCGCTCCAGCCCGACCGTTATCTACAGAAAAACAAACAGGTGACGAACCTCTACTTGCTCCGAAGTCGACAAAAAACTACTTATTGAGATCATTTATCCCGCCTTCGTAGAGCCACCCCCGTCCCAATATATCCATGAGCTTGAGGAAAAAAAATTATCAGGATGGCGACTCATCATCATAGTGACAAAGGAGGCAGTTGGGTTCCCTTCAGCCCGTTGGGGGGTTGTTGTTTAAAACAAGGAACTTTCACAACAGCATTTATCCTGCTTTCAAAAAATTAAAGCATTTAAATTCTTGAAAAGAAAAAAAAAAAGAAGGCTTTCATCCCAGCAGGGGATTCTGAATGAGTCCGTTGTGGCCGTCTAGCTCGAGGTGCTCGTAGACATAGCTGCGGTTGGAGCGGCACTCGTCCCCGCACTTGGCCGACCCGCACTTGGGGCAGGGGAAGTGGCAGCCGGGGCAGCCCACCATCAGGCAGTCGCAGGAGTCGCTGTTCGACCCAATGTGCAGGCCACGCGAAGTGTAGTGCCGCGAGCCCCGACCGCCCCTGCGCAGAGGGACCCTCCGATCGTACAAAACGCCTTCTCTGCGGAGCTTTTGTACCGCCGTCGTAGACCGACGGCGTCTGCAAGCCGACTCGCGGCCAGTCGCGGTCAAGGGCTCTGCCTTTGTTCACGGCCCCCGACCTCCCGAAAAAGACGGAGGGGACCAGGCAACAGCTACAGGAAGAGCCGCGCCGTTTTGCATGGTTAGTGTCCTCGCCGAGAACGTGCACGCGCACCGAAACGGCAACGTTTCTCGAGAAACGTGCACGTTTTTCCCGAAACATACTTCCCCGTGGGGCATAAATGCGGCATGGACGTACGGGGTGTTCTGGAAAGTTCTTTACGAGTTTGCATGGGTGTAGGAAATTTATGGCCAAGTTAGGGCTGGTTCTCACGTTTGCGTTTGAGCGGGATCAACTGCGACGCAACCGCTTACGAGAAAACATCAGTGTGTCTAGATATGAGGGCTTCCAACTGCTCCGTCGGGGTCGCACGTTTTACGGTCGCATTTGCGACGCGAGGTACGAGGAAAAGGCATCATCGTCTGCAAGCGTCTCCACCTTTTGCTCATCCTCCCCACTCAATGTCTTGTTTGCCAAACTTCAACACGCCTAATTTGCGGAGGTGCTGTATGCCATTAAATTGCGAATTCTCTCTATGGTTTCAGTTGCTCCCTCTCACCAATCTCTCCGGCACGGAGTAGAGAGCCTAAATCAAAGAGAGGGTCCACCTCATACTGTGGGGAGCATTTGCAATTTAATGGTGGATGCCTCCCACGGAAATAAGTCTCAGGAGCATGTGCGCTGCGCTTTCGTGTGGCGATGCATTTGCAGACGGTCGGCGCTTTCGGAATTATTCTTGCAGACACAACCCATCCATCGCATGACCCCAATCCTGCGGTTGGAAACTCTCCGCAACTCTCTACCGTCCAGAAAACACACTGGCGCCATCCATCGCGTAGCCCCGCCACGTTTCCGGTCTGCATAGAACTGGCTTTCGCGACGTTTCATTGAATCGACGCGCTGCCGACGAGAAATAGTCTTATAATGTCGTCGGAAGTATTTTCAGGTGAAAGAACGATCGTGTTTTGGGGCTACCGAACAGACGGCGGTCTCGTCGTAAGCGGTCACGGGCGATTGCAACGTGGCCGACCACGCTCGAATGCAAACGTGAGAGCCGGGCCTTGTGCAGGGCTAGGGACACTAAATGAGCTACGCTTAGACTATCGTCACTCCATTCCTAGACTGTCACGGGTGCCACCATTTCCTTGCCCCATGCAGAGTGGACGCAATTGGCGACAGTTGCAAGCTGGCCCGGGTGTCGTTACTTTCCAGCACGAAACGAGCTACTGCCGAGGGAGCGATGCTGCCATACTTTACATTTCATGCCATCTGATCCATTTGTAGATATATTTTGAATGCTAGCTACAATTATAACTCGAGCAATAAATCTCCAAATAATTATTTGCAGCACACGAGTACAGGACCTAGCTTCCCTCCACACGTACGAAGAGAACCGTTATCGTTTCCTGATAACGCTTTCCAGTGAGTCATGCGGAGACCCCACCAAAAAATATGCGGCACAAAGTCCAAGACTGAGTGCCGCATTTCATGCGAGCAAGTGATGACAAAGTATGCATTCAACGAAAAAAAAAAGTGGTGAAAATATTAATCAGCTTTCCAGGGCCTGTGCTCCCCACCAGGGTGTAGGCACCTTCGGTGCTTCATTATGACAGATAACTAAAGTGCTCCACATGGCTTTAGGCTTTTTAAGCACCTGGGGAGGCACACAGGAGGAAGCTCTTCAGTTTAGTCGATAGGAGGTGGCTCGACATTAGGAAGGAACAAACAAAAATGGCTCCAAGAAAGCTGTTCCACATCTAGAGTTTGAAAGCAAAATATCCCCGCTTTAGTGGCCCAGTGTGAAGCCACAGATGACAATCATCCAGCCTGAAACAAACAAACAATTAAGGATAGCCCAGGTTTATAACAATCTTGACAAATTTGTTAAGGTTTTTGTGTTCATGCAAAAACCTTTACTGGAATCGAACAGGTTTTCTGTTATTACTGATGATGAAGCTATTTTGAAACCCCAGTTAGTGCTACATTCGGTTTGGCTAGCCTCGAGGTTTAGTACACAGTGCACTTGCAGATAGCCAACAAAAGATAGCAGGTGGTCATGATTCATGACCAGCTGTCAAATGTAAGAGAACTCAAAAAATTGATGCGAATAAAAGACCCGTAATTTTTTAGGAACGAAAATGTAAAAAATTTAGAGGATGAAGGGCATTATGAAATTTACACGAATTAAGATGTTACACATTTTATATTATTAAACAACGTTATGAAATTTTATATAAATAGAAATTTTACATAAAACTTGATGAAGAACATTATGAAGAAAGAGATCAAATTTATGCGGATGAAATATTTTCTTTGATTTTATACAAAAGAAGATGTTATAACATTTATATGAAGGACATTATGAAATTTGAGATAGATGGAGAAGTTCTACAAATAAAAGGAACTGTCATGCTTAATGAACTTTCAAAAAGGCAACCTGATCCTTTAGCTGACTGTGGAGTCAGGGAGAAGGGGCCACACCGCCATTTTGGCTCCAACCCTTGAGGTACTCTTTTGAGAGCGAAGTACTTGAAAAAGGGAAAAAAACACACACACATACACACTCAAACCAATTATGCACACTGTAGTATGGCACCATTACACAGTACGTACAGTAAAATCCCTTCAAAACCATTAAAAAACCACAAAGTAGTAGCTCACACAGAGCAGTCACACTGATGACAAAAACTAACAAACATTTTCACACCCCATCAAATTTTGAAACAGAACTCAGTAAACACCCAACTAAAAACAAGTTTGCTGGGTTATAACTACGGTTCTGAGTTTCCGGATAAATGTGATCAAATCCGAAAAATGCCTGCCAGTAAAAATATGGCAAATTCAGATTTATATGCATATACAGGGTATCACAAAAGAAAATTTACACTGTCTTCTTTACCGCAAAAATAAACTAGGCATCGCTGAACACTCATTTTCCGCCCAAAGGTAGCGCTAGAGGTCACAACCAGATGCCAAAGTTTCAGCCCGATCCGATAACTTAGTCAAAAGTTATCAGTGATTTTCTGAATATTTCAATGGGAAAATGGCGGCCAACAGAGCTTTCAAACACATGGGGCTCTATGGCACCAGAAACCGAAAACGGGCAAAAATGGGCTCTATTTTCCCATTGAAATTTTCAGGAAATCACTCATAACTTTTGATTAAGTTATCGGATCGGGCTGAAACTTTGGCATCTGGTTGTGACCTCTAGCTCTACCTTTGGGCAGAGAATGAGCGTTCGGCGATGCCTAGTTTATTTTTGCGGTAAAAAAGACAGTGCAAATTTTCTTTTGTGACACCCTGTATATATTAAAAAAAAATGAAAGCCGTTTACAAATCCCTGTAACGCCGAATTAGAGCGCAGTTCTTGAGGAGGAGTGGGAAGGGTACTGAGGGGGGGTCACGTGACCTTGGGAAGAGGGGGGTCACGTGACCTCGGAGTGGTCACGTGGTCACTCCGAGGTCATGTGACCTCTAGGGGGGAGGGTCACATGACCTCGGGGGTCACGTGACTTGGGGAGTCACGTGACTTGGGGAGTCACGTGACTTGAGGAGTCACGTGACTTGGGGAGTCACGTGACTTGGGGAGTCACGTGACCTTGGGGATCACGTGACCCTGGAGGAGGGGTCACGTGACTTTGGGGGGGTCACGTGACCTCGGGGGGGGGGGGGGGGGGGGGGTCATGTGACCTCTAGGGGGGAGGGTCACATGACCTCGGGGGGTCACGTGACTTGGGGAATCACGTGACTTGGGGAGTCGCTTGACTTTGGGTGTCACATGACCTTGGGGATCACGTGACCCTGGGGGAGGGGTCACGTGACTTTGGGGAGGTCACGTGACCTCGGGGGGGGGGGGGGGGGGGGTCATGTGACCTTGGGTGTCAGGTGACCTTGGGTGTCACGTGACCTTGGGGGTCACGTGACCTTGGGGTGACCTTGGTTACGCTGACGGCGACGGCGCTCAAGCCGGGAACGAACCCCTAAGAGCTGCGCTCTAAAAAAAAAAAACACTCAACGTTTTTTTTTTAATCTCCACAGTAGTTCTGGATTTCTAATTCTAAATTATCCGATTAAGGAAGGAGTTTCCTTAATCGAATAACCTTGAAGGCCATTGTCACCCCTGCCCACATTCGTATACATTTGTACTACATTTTCAAATGTGGCAGATATAGCTCGATAATTATCAAAGCGGGACTGATCAGAAGAGTTTATCTACAGTCACGGACAAAGCGAGAGCCTGAAGCACGCGCTTTGAGCCTTACGACGGCCCTTCTCGGGCTTTTGGGAGTCGCAAACCACCTGACCCACTTGGAGGCAATTCCGAGATCCCTGAGGCAATCTGCATCGGAGGTCTCGAGCAATGCCATAGGGCCTTTTTTGTTTTTTGTTAGAGTGTTCTTTTCATTTGCCTCGGACCCACAGGAACGCTATATAGTGCACTGTGGCGTCAAGTGCCTGCGCTCCAGGTTCATGAGATGGCCTCACGCTGGAGGCGGGGCAACGACTTCTGCCGTCAGCGATGGGAGACCAAGGGTGCTTGGCAAAGCAGGCTTAAGAAAGACGGGCCGAGGCCAAGGCTACCTCTCGGAGGCGTACACTTGCCCGCAGACGGCGTGGCGGCGGCGCTGGCGACACCGCCACAGTGCCAGACTCTGCGCCAGGCGCTGTCCGTTCTGCTGCGCCGGAAGAGTGCAGTCCAGACGGTCCACCGGGCGCACCCCGGTAGGCTGTCCGGCCAGGCTGCGGCAAAAGGGCAAATGCCGGTAGCGTTTACCCACCGACGCATTGAGCAGATATATTCCGTAGGCAGAGATGGGCAAAATACATGCAAATATGTATCGAAATACAAATACAGAATACTTTGTCAAAAATGTATTTAATTACAAATCTAATTACATTTCCAAAAAAGCATTTAAGTACAAGATAAAATACAACCAAATGTATTTGGTCTCCTCCAAATATTTTTCCAAATACATTCCTCAAAATTTGCATCAGCGACTTCAGGGCACCTGCAACGGGTTTCTGGGTATCTCATTTTAATTTTGCATATCACACTCGGGAGTTAGTGCGCGAGGCTCTAGTAACGTAATAGAAATATTATCACAAAAAAATGTAATCAGCTTGGACATAATAGGTGAAAAAAGTACAGAGCTTCAAGCAGCTTTTTTTGTAGACTACATTTTGGTATAGACCAACAAAGAACCGAGACAACCAAGACGCGCAGCACTAGCTAGAGAATTTTTTATTGTCACAACGCAGACGCGCAGCACTAGCTAGAGAATTTTTTATTGTCACAACTCACACCAGTTACGACAATCTGGACGACCTGCACATTTAGAATGTTCCAGGCAAAAATATGGATGGAAATCAAACTGGAAAGCATCACAAGTTGTCACAGTCTGCCTGTGAACGTCGATTTCGTCACTATTCTTGCCCTGGACTGGCACCGTAATCACAAAGTCCCTAAACGCTTGTGTTTGATTGAGAGACACTGCATTCGGTGCAGAGCGTAGTTTTCATCCTGCTCTGGACAGTGACAATAAATTTGAGGGATGTATTTCCGCCCACAAAATTGTATTTAATTACAATTGTATTTGAAATACTCACGTTTTAGTATTTAAATATGCACGTCAAATACATTACCCAATTTGTAATTAAATACAAATGCAAAATACACAAAGTATTTGAAATACGTATTTCAAAAACTTGTATTTGAAATACGTATTTCAAATACTTGTGTAGGCAATAAAAACTTCCTCGCCGCGTCCCGCAAGTGAAATGCAGCCGAGGCGCATGCCACTGCGCATAGACTGGTGTTTTCCCGCTAATTTATTGAGAGATTTTCCCGCTACATTTAGGAGCAAAATGTCTCCACCAAACATCGTGGTTTCACACGAGGTCAGATACCACGACGACCATACACAATCTGCAATAAAAAAATAGAAAAAAAATCATCTTGTTTTTCTATTTTCAATATTGAATGTGTGCCTTCAATGACCGACGACTGGACGACTGATTGTCTTTGGTGGTTGTGTCTAAACCTTACAAAAGGTTGTACACGAGCAGTTGTGCAATTTTTTCCGTGCATTTTCCCTGGTAGTTTGAGCATTTTTCCCCTCTAATCTGTTAAGCAAATTATATGCGTTTTCAAAACAATTATAATTATTTAATTATTTCGGACACAATTTGAACGCCATCTATACTTGATACCCAGGGGTCATACGATTTCAGGATAATTGAGTCCTTCAATACAAACGTGAGACTTCGGCTAAAGTTTGATACAGGCTACAAAAATGCCGCTGCAACTGCCCTTAAAAAAGAAAAAAATTAAAAAAAAGAAATGTACAGTGTTTAGACAGGACAGAGTTTTCAGTGTAAAGTTTTTCACAAAAAAAACAAATATTTATGTTGTTAGACACAATTTAGCGAACAGGGGGGTGGCAGTCCTGCTCTAGGCCCCGCCCGGTGCTTAGCTATAGCCAACTAAGCACGTTTTCTCTACTTCGTTGGTTGGAGAGATAATTGACGTACAAAATGTTTGTTGTAAAACTGTTTCTCCGTGCCGTAATAGTATTTCTATTGACAATAATTTTTAGGCTTGAAAAACAAAGAACCTAGATGGTCATTACTGTTTTCAAAAATATCTCCACATTGCCTTTCCACGGCAGTTTAAAATGATAACAAACATCGCTGCAGGCATTTGCGGCACGCTAACGAGCTTAGTTCGTTCAGCTCGTTTATTTTTACCAGCGAGAGTCAGTCTACGTTCACCAAGGTGTTTAGAGGAAGATATCGCAAGTATGCGCCTTCAGAAGCGCTGTGCTCGTTTTCGTAGCAGGACTACCCTAAGCCTAACGTCCCACATCAACTGTGTTGCTCAACCTGGCTCAACTTGTTCGTTTGTGCGTGTTGATGCTGGATACAAATTTTGGCTTCCGTAAAAACGGCCCCACTGCTCTCAATTGTGCAACCGTCATGACGGCGACCATGGTTTCAATAGCGAAAAGATACCTACGCAGGTGAGAATTTGCGAGCCATTTGGCTGGAGGCAATCGGTCGTTTGGCTCGAATCAGGTTTGTCCAGGTATGTTCCAGTCATTTCGCTTCAAAAGGCGAATATAATTCTCAAGTTGTGCAGTGGACTTTGCCTTCGAAAGTGAATATTTTTAGGTTTCATTTTATTTGTGCATCACGATGTACACTCACCTTGCTCGTGGATGCCATGCAAAAAAATAACAAAGTAAAGCTGAAAAGTGAATATTTATTTTGTCGATTTTTTTAGACCTCTCGGTTGTTTATGGCCCCACATCAACAGACGCTGGCAGACGCTCGCATTGAACCGTGGCTCGTGCATGATCGAACGCAAGAACGCCGCTTTCATGGTCACGTCTTGCGAACGTTGCAGAAGTTATTAGAGGGGGGCAAAATAGCAGACGGAGAAAGGCGAAAACGAACGCAGACATGCAGCTTCGAGTCCTACGGGAATTGCAGACGACGATAGAAGGTGGTGGAATAGCAGACGATGCTGGAGGCTACTGTGCATCTGCTAGCACGGCTAGCAGGTGGTGTAGAGAGAGACACTAGGTTTGTTAGTGTGTTCGGCCGAGCAGCCAAGCCAATCCAGCAGTAACCGGCGAGGCTCAGAGCGGGCCATGACCGCCACCTAAACTGTGCAACAATGTAAATAGTGAGCAAAATGTTTCTCCTCATCAAAGAAATTAGCAAAAAATAATGTATCTTTTATGCTCTTTAAATTTTTATTTTTTTAATTTTAGTGTTTTCATAGCTTTTTCCGGATTACGGGAAAAGCAGTAATTTTCGAAGGATACGTGCAACTGCTTGTATTTTCCTAATTTGCGTACGCAGAAATATGACACATCAAAATCTGGCCAATTAGTTGTTCTTTCAAAAGAAACAGGTTGGCATAATGTGAAAAAAAAAAAAAAAAAAAGATTCTGAAACATAATTTTTGGAAAATACAATGTATGTGCAGAAGGCCATACATTGTGCGGCCCTCCGAACGTTTCTGTAGGAGTTTCGGAAGCGCCAAAACTTGTACACCTATGCCGGAATAAACGACTGATAAAAAAAATTCAGAATATATAAAATGTGCCCCACACCCAGTGTACTCTAATTGACATTGTCTTTTTTCGGTTTGTCGGAGAGTTAGCCTCCGTAACACGTGTGCTTTTCAAGTAAGGAATGCTTATAGTGGTGAAATACAGATAGTTCAGCTCACAACCCCAGCAGAATGATTTTTTTGTTTTCTATGTTGGTTTTGTCAGTCTTGATGGCAGTTCCTTCACATTTAGCATTCTTTTCCGCCTTGCTGGGAACATAAAAGTGCATGCCGGCTCAAGACAGCATTGAAAATTATAATGAACCTTAGCAACAGCCATCTGTTGAGTGATGCCTATAACATCATTTAAAGTGTCCCCAGAGCTCTTGATGTCTAAGAAATATGCCACAATACAGATGAATTATGTCAACAATGCCATCTTTGTTATGAAGACTGATGCAAGCACTCAGCCATGTTGGACAAGTGCAGCCACCTCTCCCAGGACTACTTTTGACAGCAGACCAGCTTGTGTTCATGCTCAGACCTACGCTGAAACCGAAACTACAACTCTTCGGCTATCCACAAGATTGTAGAACATAGGTAATTCTCAGCAATAAATTTAATTTTTTGACGGTGCTTAGAAATCATTGTTTATCTGTGACCTAAGGCTTATGGACACGGTCAAGAAAGAAGAGTTAATTTGGCAAACATGAGTCGCTTAAAAAAAATTTTGTGCACACCACATTTTTGTTATGCCTGTAGCTGATCACTGTATGCAAGCACTGGTCATTCTTTATTGACCTCTAACAATAAAACCTAGAAATAAGCTTTTTCCGTTTCTTTTAATCCAAAACCGTGCTTTTGCGAGGGAAAAGAAGCTAGGCAATAGACCTTTTGCAAAGTGTGCAGCAACCCAAGTCTAGAAACCCAAGCTACAATAACCCTGGTTTATGCGGACGACTGCAAGCGGAGGAAAGCAGCCGGAAAACTGCTCCAGCCTCTCGCCATCTTCAGTGTCACGGGAGGGGGTCAAAGAAGAGCGTACTAAACTTTGGGATTTTTGCAAAAGGTCTATCGAGGGTACGGCTTTGCAGTGCCTCTACTTCACGGCACTACTTGCGGCACTGAATTTGGATGGCGATTGGGGTATTGAAGTCATTGGAGAAAAAAAGAAAAGGAATGAAAATGATATTATTTTGGAGATTGTTACACATGAAAATTTGAGCAGTTGATTCAGCTATGGATGGCTCATTCAGAAGGGGTTCAAAACTCCACCACACTTCCTGGTTGCAAGACTCCCAGCGGTGTCGACTAGGCCCCCTTGGCCCCCTTGTCTACGCCCAATGCCACACATGGTCGCGTACAAAACTCTCCCGTAACATTATGAAAAAGTTTTGTGACCAGTGGCGCATTCAAGGACTCTGTCCATGTAAAGGCTGCTACATCCACTTTAAAAACAAAGTACCAAAACTTTCGGGACTTCTTTTAACTTTCCTATCTGTTTCACTTTTTTTTAGAACATGGATCAGCAGTGCCTGCATTGACAAAATTTACTAGGGTGGAAAGCGCCAAAATTTCCAGACCTAAGGACCGCAACCTTGGACCGGAAGCTTTCTGGACAGACAGTGGGGGCTCACCTGGTTGGCCGGTTGGCTGCGGCTAGGGCTTCGGCTGCGGCCGACAGCCACGTCTGCTTGCGCCTGCGCCAGTTCTCCTTCATGGCGGCAGAGCGCCGGCTGCTGCTGCTGCTGCTGCCAGAGGGCGCTGCCACCACTCCCTCTTTGGCGCCCTCAGTGTCCGACCGGCGCTTGGCCTCCGCAAACAACTCTGCCTGCAGGAACTTGGGGAAGGAGTGCAGCACTGCGGCCGTGCACTCCCCGGGCACGTCGCGGCTGCATGCAAAAGGTTTGACAGAGTTATTCCATTAACCCTTCGACAGTATTTTAGTAATTTCCGACCCTCAACTGCCCAGATCACACTAGGTCAATTCGAGATGCAGTAATGCCGGGTGGCTTGCTAGCAGGTAGAGTTGTTTCCGTCAAGAAAAGTGGAAGGGGTGAATCGGTTGAAAACTATCACCCCATTTCTCTGACTCACGTGTCCTGCAAATTGCTAGAACATGCAGTAAATAACCCTTTCTTTCCTCGGAGCAGAGGGTATGATTAACCCCAGCCAACACGGCTGGTCAACAGTGACTCTGTTAATCAATTTTTATCACAAATTATCCAGCTATGTCGGCGATCGAGCCCAGGTTCATTGCTTTGTCAAAGGCCCTTGACCGAGTATCTCGCCGCAAGCTAGTTAAAATATTATTAGACCAATAGACAAAGTACCTCTAAGTTCGGTATTGGACCCTTTTTTGATACATGTTAACAGGTTGTTTTTAATTTCAACTAATGGCCCCATAAATATTAGAATGTTTGTAGTCTACACTCCCACATATTCAGTAGAAGACCAAATGAATTTGAACAGCACCAGCAACATCCCAAACCTTTGTCTAACCTCGAGGTTAGACTGGTTTGACGAGCGCTCCGACTCCCGGTGAACTTCAACAAAAACTTTTCTATGGCCTTGACGAACTTGAAAACAAAAGTTTGAAAGTTTTGTTTAGAAGTGCCAGCAGTGAGTCGCCAGAGACAGATTAGACTGGATCAGTGACGCTGACTAACACAGACTTTAAAGGCTGCTATGTTTTTGTCTTTGAACATAATTTGATTTAATTAACGACGTAAGCGGCCGGCCTGACTTTCGTGGCTGCCGTCTGTCTACTCTCAGTCTCTTTTGCCGCACACAGACTTGGTCGCGGCATGTGATGGTGAGGTGGCGCCATCTTCTAGCAGCTTGTGTAGTCAATACACTACATGGACGGTCACACTACGGTAATGTCCTGAAAGATGGCTCACCCCCAAACGATAACCCTTCCCCATTTTTGGCAGGATTTGCTATTTTTCAGAAACACGGAAAGCTAGCCCACTTCTAGTAATTGCAGGGTCCTGGCCAATGGCGACCGCAGCAGAAATGGCATTACTTAGCCACGACGGGAGGTAAGCAGGCATTGCCGAATCGGAAGGACGGTCGTCCAAAGTTCGTTGCCCTCCCCCCCCCCCCTGCAATCGCAACTTTTGCGTGTCACAAAATCTAAAACTCACATTTTTCCCACTTGTTTTAGATCGCACATCGAAAGTTGGCCCACTCCATATTTTCATCTAATTTGCTTTCGCTTCAAGGTCGGCCATCTCTCGGGATATAGTTAGTTTCGTCGACAGCCCAAAGATCATTAAACTCGCGTTAATGATTCTGATCAACCAGGGCAGCACAGAATGCGTCGCGAGTGCATTGTGCCTGCATTACCATTCGTCATGCTCGGTTACAGGAAGGGTAGTTTTGGACGAGTTTCACGCTTGATGAACTCTCCCCGGGTTGATGGCCCGGGGTTCCCACTTCGGCATGTCCCTCTAATTACGGTTCATTAATTGCCATTAAGTATACGTGCCTTCTACCTGCTTTGTACGCCTATGCATTGCCTCCCATGGCCTGCATGTAACAGCTGTCGGTTACGCTCGAGTGCCAAATCGAGCCCACAAATCCATTCTGGGCTCAAAAGCGAAAGGTGGCAATCGCGCCACTTCCAGAAACGCCGTTTGGCATCCCAGTTTTCCCAAGCGGAGGAGGGGACGCCCACCTTGTGCCGGTGCCTGCGGTGAGCTGCCTGAGACGCTGCCACCAGCGACGCTTTGCCTCCGACCGTCGAATGCTGCTTGCCGACGCTGCCTTCGGGGTCCCGGGCTTTGGGGTCCCAAGCTTTGGGGTCCCAGGCTTTGGGGTCCCGGGCTTCGGGGTCCCGGGCTTCGGGGTCCCCGCGACCGTGCGTGGGGCAGTCCTACGGGCGAAATTGAGCTCAATCAGCCAGACGGCGAAGCAAAATGCGAAAGCAACGGCTAAACGAACCCGACGCCAAAGCTTTTCCCCATCAATCTAAGACACTTCTGCCATACACCTTATGTGGCAACAGACTCTGCAACAACTATAGTAGGTGAAAAACCAAGCGGCCCCTCAAAGGGATTCACTCCGCCAGCCAATCGCTTCACCTCATTCCGCCGACGTCGCGGCTCGACAAACTATCTTTCTTCTGGATGACGGCGAACACAGTCGGCGATGCGACGCGGAAGACGCCGAGTTCTCGATTTTCAGGGTCTTTATTTGATTGGGCTTACGTCGTGCTAGTGTCCACTTTTGTTTGCGATAGTTTCAGCGCCAATGCGGGAGTCCAACAACCGCGTTGCCATCCAAGTGTGCCTGCTCTTCGGGCCGTTAGGCCTAGCAATGCCCAGAGTATGGTCGACACGCTTCGGCAAAGGCTTCTTTTCGTTGCGTTGCTGCCACGGCGGAAGAAATACATTTAGGTGATGACTCTCTGTCCGACACGGCGACCACATTATGTTCAGCGCACCGAGCGCGCTTCGCTCGCACGGGGATAGATGGCGCCCAAGTATAGAGGGGCTTGTGAAGGCTTGTTTAGAGGGCTTGTGAAGGAAAGTATGCATTCTTTACTCGGTCCCTGTGTACTGTGTGGTGAAACGATGGATTTATGTTGGCGCACTGGCACTGACTGTCTTTTCCCCCGTGCTGTTGCTGTTTTTTTTTTTAAACAAGAACATTCCGATGATGACTCAACGTGACAAAAATACTCCTATAGTCACAATATGGTGTCACCCGTTTACGTACGTTTGCCTCAACATGCTCTCTTTCGAGGCGGATTTTCGGGTTTTTTGTAACGTGTAAGGTACTTCCGGCAGCCAGGGAAAATGCTCAGAGCAGCCTCTACACATAGCACAGGCTTCTTTGCAGCATAGAGAACACTCCCGCCAACCTCACCATGATACCATTTCGATATCAGTTCGTCGGGGAAACGCTTGGCACAAACATGATCACTAGGTAGAAACTTGCGATCGGCCCTTGGGATTGCACGACGCCACTGCTCCAGGCAAGCGTCGTTCCCTGGAGCTTTAAACAAGGACACTCGCTGTGCACAGTTCCGGTACCCCAAATTGCAGTTGGGAGCGAAGCAGGTCTTTCCCATCCTTATAGCATAACTTCTTCTTCGGGTTAAGGGTCACCTTCGTGCACGATGGTGGCACCTGTGATCGACACAGCACCAAAGCAAAACACGAGGCCCGCCACAGGCCGCACACCACCACCACACTAACACATCGCGAAAAGGCGAGCCCGCTAAGCCGCCGACACCGTGGCCACCGAGGAGGGACCTCATACCCACGGTGCTCATAGCTCAGCGCCCTCCGCGTCGGCGCGGACCTAACTACTCCTGGTTCGAGGCTAGCTCCGAACACGATCTGGTCGCTCGCTCTCGCGGGAAGAGCGGCCAGAGTCATCACCTAAATGTATTTCTTCCGCCATGGTTGCTGCTCATCCCGGACTCGTGTCCAATAGCCAAATTAAGTTGCCACAAAGGTTTCGCGGAGGTTTCTGCGGTGCTACGTGAAAGTGCTCTGCACGCCGCGCAAGATGATCGAGCGAAGCCGTTGCCGTGCTGCCTCACTCAACTCTGTCCGCCTCTCTGCCGCATTTAATAAATAAAGAATGCTCCCAAACAGTCTTCGAAGCAGCATTTATGCATCTTTGAAACTTGGCGGCCCTGACTAGTCCCATCATTGCCATCGGTTGCTCAGTAATTCAGGTAAGAAACGATCGTCCACCACTGTCACACAAAGGCTTCGTCCAATGAAGTTCTAACAGCATCTCGCCGTCACGCTCGACGATGCGAGGTAGAAAATCTTCCGGTCGTCTCTTCAATACCCGTGCATTGTCTCGCAACGATGCCATCACACTTTAACAGCAGCAAGCTTTGCACTTGAGACCGCCGTTGCCCATGTTGCCATGTCGTGCAGCAGACGCACTATTTTCTTGGAAGTCGAGTGGACGTATTACGCCTGAAGACTAAGCACGCCTTGGGTTCTTAACCCGTTTTCTTTCAAAGTCGGCGGTCCGCTGACCGCCGTGGCAAAGGCCAAAGTGCAGAAAGCCGACGATTCGCCGGTCTACATTACGTTTATTTTTTAAATATGCTGGTAGAGGGCGAAGGTTTTACACCATTTGTATTTTATTTTGTAGTTCTGACGCTAGATGATACTTCATGTTCTATATTTTTGTAAGAGTAAAAGAAAAAGAAGTTTGCAGTTGTTGTTCTTTTAACGAGAACACAACCCAAAAGAGTTCTTCCTCCACAAATGAAATCGTTGATCTTGTGTGCGACAGCGACGAAGATGGTGACAGACGATTCAGTTATCATGAACATCACTGATATGGCACAGCATGAGGAATACAAAGTGTCCTAAACCGTTCCTTGGTGCTGCCTGCACCACCAGTTTCAAATGCTCCACGGCAGTTCACTTGTTTCCCAGCATATGCCAATGCAAGGAGGTCTATGCGGTGGATATATACACAGCGGGGAACCAATCAGCAGGATGGTGAGCTAAGTTACAAGGTTACAAACTTGAACTTATCGAGTAGACGATCAAAAGTCCTTCCTGGACATAAACAGCACAATTACGACCGCGGATGCACTGTTGATGGTTTGACAGGCTAGTGAGTGGTCTCATTTTGTTCAGGAAAGTCCTCACAGTAGCGTGGAGCAAAATTCCTCATGACAATGCCACATTAGCCAAGTTCAAGCTACATGGAGCGAACACCGCTGGAGTGTGAGAAGTTTGCACTCAATATTTGCATGCTTCCGTAGTTTAAGCAGTTTTATGTCTGCAAAGCTCTTTATTGCATTCACGCACTATTCAGGATCAATTTAAAACAAAAGATTTCCCCTATTAACCTATGCTTCAAAGCTAGTTGAGCTTTATCTTTGGTTCCAGGAGTGGAATCAGTCAGAGTAATGGGGCATGAAATACCATATAATTGAGTGTAAAAGCCAACCGCAATAATTCATGAAAAAAAGAAATACGAGAAAGATTTTTTGTGTAGGAGCGGCACCCCTATTTCCCGAAGCGCGGCACCTGTGCTAAATTGTTTGTACAAATTTTCGTGGTGCGGCACCCTCTCCGCCTCTTGCTTTTTATTTCCGTTTCTTTTTGTCCTCTTCATTTTGGCATTTGCTGCTGTTTGGTTCCTTCCTGGAGCTTGCTTTGTTTCATTTTCTGTTTGATGCCTCGTCTTCACAAACTTCCTTTTGTGGCACCCCGCCTGCTTATCTAGGGACTTCGTTTTGAGTTTCATTCTTTCGGCTGGATTTCTTGCCTTACGGACATCATTTTGTGCTTTTCTGTTTCGTTTGGCCCTTTGGACAGTTTTGCGTTTCTTCGTTTTGGCTTCGTCCGCTACGTTTTGTTCTGGTGTTTGGCCTCAGCAGCTCCTTCCTTTTGCGATATCTTCGTGCTTGTTCCCGCAACAGAGCAATGGGCAAGTACTTGAACAGTTCTATGCAAGGGGATCAAACTGAAAGTTGTCGCCTATGCCCCAGAGCATGGCAAGCATGCAGCCCATCGAGACAATGACATCCGTGAGAAGTGTGCGCGACATAGGTGCGACCAGAAGGACACATTGGCTAGCACGAGCAGACGAAGCAAGCATTCTGTGCCCTGCAAGTTTCCGGAGTTGGAAAACAAGCTTTTCGGCTACATCGTGAAAGTTCGCAACAACGGTTATGCTCTGTCAACAGACGTGTTAAGGACGAAGGTGTGGGCGTTGCCGCGTGTGATGGACATGCCCGCCGGAGAATTCTAGGCGAGTCTTGGATGGATTCAAAGATTTACGAAGCGAAGGAGCCTCTCCATCTGGCGGAGGACGACAATGTGCCAGAGACATACGAGTATGAGGAAAAGCTATTGAGCTTTACGTGATTGAGTTGTGCAAGCAGCACGACTACTTCGTGTCGCAAATCGGGAACACCGATCAAACCCTGGTCTGGTTTGACTCTCCGGAAAACTGAACGGTAGAGGCCAAAGGCAAAAAAAGTGGGCCTGTTTGCACAAATGGAGCAGGACGTCGGCTGTGTGGAACTCGCTATTCCTCGACATTGTCGCCAGGAGCTTCACTTTACTGGCACCTCCAGCAGCCTCGACAAAACTGAGGACCACGTCGCGGGGGCGTACATCCCCGAAGAGGCCGACTTGAGCTCGAAGGAGTCTGCAGAAGACGATTGTTAGAGGACAGGAATAAAGCAGTTTTAGATGCATGTAACCTGCCGCAAGTATTCAAGTATTAGTACATTCATTTTTACAGCGGAGCTGTTAAGGGCTAGGTTCCCCAGGGTCGTGTCCAATACATCAACACAAACCTACCTGGACAGCTACCGCCATCTATAAGCGACGGAGGCAAGCACACAACCAGTATGGTTTCCGCCGTCGCTCGTAGATAGCACCAACCTTTCCAGGCTCCAGCTATAAAAGAATAATGGATACTTGGGTGCGTTGGTGGGAATTCATTGTAGGAAACAGCGCAAAAAACAAACGATGACGAAGAAGAAGCACACAGTGTATCGAGTGCAGCTCCGCTGGTCTTCCTTCTTCACGAAAGTGGAAAGGCTGAATGTTTTTTAAGTGACTTACCCAATCCTTTTTATTCGACCCCAAACCATGAAAAAGTGCAGCCCTCACCTGGATATACACAATTCTGCGCATCTGAGGGCGACGACACAGCAGACGCGAAGGGGCGAACTTGTCCGCAACTATCTACGCCGACGCAAGTTAATGTTTCTCGCTTTCCAAGTTTTCCAAGTCGGGTCAAAGTGTTTTACTAGAGTCCTTGAGCCGAAAACAGAGATCCATACAAACGATTGCTTACGGTAAACTTGCAGAGCTGTCGCCCACTTGGGCGACGTTTGCCATTGCGGCATCTCCGCCGCGTCCATCCAGCTGCTGGAGCAGTCGCTCCTGCTTCAGGCGCAGCTTGGCGGGCATGGCACAGTCCGCAGAGTTACTCCGTTTGAAGCGGAGCTTGGCGGGGAGCTTGCACGCACCCAACGACCTCGAATGACCTCCAACTGCCTTGGGCCTCTGACTGCAAGATTAGAGTTCTTCTCTCATTCAATCGGTTACGGCGTGAAATGCCGAGCAGGCACCCACGTCCCATAAAGTACACACCCCTACTTTTGAAACATGTCAAAAATAGGTGAAGGGCGTGGCGAGCACGTCCACCTCGGCAGACTCGCGAGCCCACCGAGCTAACCAAAATGCTGCTCCGCGTCGGCCATTTTTTCGAAAAATCCGGCGCAAAGTGGTGAAACTCTATGCGCATGCACCGCTGCAAAGCGGTAAAGCTTGTTGCGAGAGCGCCAGCGCAAAGAAGGCTCGATGAGAGCAGCTTAAAAAATTATGGGTGGGCACTCGCCCTATATTTTATTTTAATCTTATTTGCAATTGTTTAATCATTTAATATTTTGTTTCTGTTCTGTAACTACTATATTTTGTTCCAGTTTTTGGTTTAACTGCTGCACATTGTGCCCTCACTGCTCCTCAACTAGCATGTACATATTGCCGCGTGCATGATCGAACGCTTCTCCATTCATCTAGAAGATTCGCATACCCTCTTACCCCGAGCGTAAACGATAAGGAGGCCACAATGACCTTGTCTAGTCAGCCTCGCCCCAACTCTTTCCTGAACATTCTAGGTGGAATATTCCAGATGACGAGCATAGTGCATAAAGAGCCCAGCAACGTATTGTCGATTCATTCACCGATTCTCTCTCGCAATAGCCAGCTGCTACACTGATGAACCGTCGCTCGCCACTGCCGCCGTCGACGCTCACTGCTGCTTTCTCAATGTGTGATCTTTTTCGTTTCTGGCACAAGTTCGCCCCTATTAAATCTTTAGTTCATTCCATTTTCTCCTGCCTCATCATCTGTCATTTGTTTCCATTGTCTACATTTCACCACTCCTCCCCATGCGCAGCGCAAGTTCGTCTGCTTGCTTTGCAAGAGTCGTGATGACGTCAGAACGCAGGGCTCCAATTGACTCAGATTGAAGGATAGTGGGTAGACCTGAAGGGAGCTTGTTTCAAAGTCTACCCACTAACCTACAATCAAAGCCAGTCAGAACTCAGCGTCATTATGACGTCACCGTAACCCTTGCGCAAGAAGCAGACTACTCTCTGTCCGCATTGGCGGCACGCAGGAACTGCAGGGGGCACTTCTTTCGCTGGCACTGTTGTCGTTTGTGATGTAGCCAGTAGGACCCATTGTGCAGATTCCTCTGCTCACCACTTGCCATCGTGCATTGTTTGGTAATGCAGCACAAAATGTTTCGTGTCACAATGTGTTCACTTCGCAAAGTACCATTTAAGGTCATACGTTGCATTCCAACTTGAAGACGATGCACACATACTGGCGCTAAGCAAACACTTTTGGGGCTGAAGTGTCCTGTGTCAACGCAGACGAAGGAAGTGCCGATGCCGCGATGCTGCTGCTGAAGCCGCATCGCTGTACTTCCGTACAAGAAAACTCGGGAAAACATTGTACCCTTGTTAAGATCGAGGTTTAACAAGAAACTGGACGATTTGGCAAGATGACCAGTGTGGCCTGCGTAGGTTTCGCCGGCATTAATTAGTTCCGTGGCAGCGCTAGTGAAGAAGTAGAACATATTTGAGCTGTGAGTCGGTACCCCCCCTTCGTCTCTGTCTCCCCTTCGTGTCCTGGTCCTTCTGCAACGTCATTTCCTAGTCCTGCACCTCTTTCCATGAATTCAACAGTTATTGATCAGAGATGCAAACTAACTTATCCAATCTGTACAATTACTTAGTGAAGCAATGTTTGTAGTTGGGCACGTTGGTACAGACTACAAATAATAGAAACAGCCTAAGTACAAAGTCCATTGCAATTTTCAACAGGAAGTTCATCAAAGGAATGAACCAATTCGTGCAAGGGACGATGGTACAGGTGATGAGTTGCTCAGTAAAATGATGTCCTGCCTGCATTTCTGCTTTTTTCTTTTACGTACATACATGTAGAAGCAAAAGAAGACGAATGTTGCGAGTCTTTCTTCTCAGTGTCCTTGCGTTTATCTGTGCTGTTTCTATCATTTGGGTGCGAGGCGGCGGGCACCGAAGCATCTCGTTGCCAATAATGCCCCTGGCCCCGAGGGTAAAATAAACAAATAGGAAAAGATGAAGGGCGACGACATTTGATCACCTTGCTACGCTAATCTCGACGGCGCAGCACATTTCCTGCCGTGCGGCCGTCGGCGCCTCTTGCCTACGATCGGCCGAAGTCGCTGCGAAGTTCATTTTCGCTCGACGCTGCTCCCAGCGCAGCTTGGCCGCCAACGACATTCGCGAGCGCTTGGTACACATCTTCGCCTCTGCTTCGGCCGTAGCCTCCAAGGAGGCTGTCGACGCAGCCTCAGACGTAGCCACGGAGATGGGGACACTGGGATCAAATGCAAGGGCTTAGGGCGAACTCACGCACATTGTCATAGAACGAAATTGGCGAAAGATGAATGCGATGTTGCACCCACACTTGCCTCGGCCAACCTACCGTAAAATCCCGAGAGATGCCCCACCCCCAAAAGGCAACCCACCCCATTCTCAACTTGATTTGCTATTTTCGTTTAAACACCGAAAGATAGCCCACTCCTAGCAATCGCAGTGTTGGTATCAATGAAGACCTCGGCATAAATGCATCTAGTTCGCCATGGCGGGTTGGTTAGCAGTCATTTTTGCTTTCTTGCCCCGCCGCGATAACAACTTTGGCAGGGATACATGATCTTAAAATATCATTCTTTAAGACTTTTCTCGGTTACACACCGAAAGTTAGCCCACTCTTTATTTTCATACAATTTTCTCTCTATGTTAGGTGGACTATCTCTCGGGATATTACGGTATACACCTTTCCAAAAACGCTTCTAGGCCGCCGCCATGTTGCTGATGCTGATGCGACTCTCGTGCCCCCTATCGGCTAGAATGTACCACTCTCTTAGACTGTGAAAACCCGCTCCGTGCGATTCTCTACCCATGCTTTGCGGTTTTGCATTCAACGTTTTCCGGCCCCCTTGAAAGTTTCCACTTAATTTTTCTCAAGCATGATGCATACCCTTTCTGTGTTATCTTCCACTGCGAGAAAGCGAGAAATAGGGTTGGCAAGTGCCTGCTATCCAAGCGTTTCTGCTCCACGTTCACAGGAAACGAAGGAGGGGAAGGACGTCGGACGGCCCTTGACGCGATTTGGCGAACAATGACAACTGTTCTCCCCCCTCCCAGAGATAATCAGCGTAAAGTCCTTCAAGTTCTCGGTCATAGCCAAAAATAGTTGTTCGGGTTGAAGTCAGTCACACATGCTCCTTTACCTTAGAGTTGATGGACTGCACACAATGCCACAGACAGCGCTTTGAGAGAGTGTGCTGTCTCCGTGCCCGACCACATGATATGTTCTCCACGCTACTCCACGCCAGATTGGTTACGCTGGCTCGTGTCATTCGCTACGGTCCATCTCAACAACGCAGAGGAGCAGACGCATACTTGCGCACGTTCGGCTTAGCAGCAAAGGGCCCGTGTTTCGCCCTACGTTGGTGATTTTTCTGCCGTGGTGCCGTGCAATGTGAGCCCGCGCACATTCGCTCGGGACAAATTATCCGATGCGGAGTCTTCCAGAGTTCGAACTATCAAACTTTTCCTCCCATAGAAATGTATGGGCACTCGCCGGGACTTTTGAACACGATTGAATTAAACGATAAGTCAAATTAATCGAGGTCGAACTAATGAAAGTTTACTGTACCATACGGCCTATTGTGTCATTATATGTCCACCCAAACCCAGAGTTTCCCAGGAACTCAAGAACAATTTATTTTCTAAATATAAATATAGCAAATATTCCATGAATATGGTAATTGCCTTAAGTTTACTAAGAATCTGATTACACCACAAGCTGGGGCATGAGACAATGTGACGGGGCTAGGCCGACAAACAGAAGTTTCAAGAATGAGCTCGAAGACAAGGGAAAGGCCACATCTCGGGTCTGGTCATGGCCAAAGTGAACACTTGCACGAACATGCCCCAACATTTGCAATCTCTTAACATATGTGCAACCACCATTACAAGGTTCCAAATAGAGCTCACAGAAAACAGGAAACAACACTGACAGGGAGAAACACAAAGTTATCGATGTTTTGTTTCAAGAACAGGCCTGGTTAGTTGTTTCACTTGCTAAAGAATCTATCAGCGAGTCAAACAAACAGGAGTTCATGGATGCAACTGCACCAATGCATATTCACTTCCAGAAGAAGCTCAAGTTTCCTCGTAGACCCAGAATATAACTGTTTGATATTCATTTCTAATTTGTGGCAATCACAGAACATACCAATAACCTGGGGACTCAAACCGTAATCCAAAGCAAAAACCGTTTAGGGACAACTGTATTGGTAGTTGTAACTGGAGCAAAACCAGTATCTTCACTTGACACAAACTGGAGCCATTAAAAAATAACCGGTAACCAATATATTAAATCGGTTTGGCATAATTTCTACGTATAAATTGAAACCGCAAGGCGAGATCTTCCGCTTCTACTGGCACTTGTAGACGGGCACAGCGTAGACAAGTAATGCTTCCCGTTACAAGTTCGAGTAAGAGGTGAATTTTAACTGCCAGTTTAGTTCCGTCTTACTTCAACGCATCTGCACAGGCGGGACGATTATGCCTCATCTACTTGGCAAATGGGACAACAACGAAATGTGCAAACAAGAGCCAACGTGTCAATCCCCACAGTGCTGCCAAGATGCCATCCCAGCCAAGCTTCTCACAAGAACCCGCACGGCCTCAGGGACAAACCAAACCCAAGACATCAATAGTCCGGACCCGGACGATTGACCACAAGAACTTTTGTCCCGGACTAAACCGACGGGGGACTCTCCAACAGATGGGTGTTGCAGTCAGTCCTCAACTACCTTCGGATGACCCGATTGGGCGGCAACTTTTGGGGAGGCAAGCCACGCCACAGTGCGACCGCTTAATTAGGGCTAAATAAACCTACTTCTAACCTCAGTTTTGGTGGACAAGCAATTGACACAATGCGTCGTCTGCTTCTTGCACAAGGGTTGTGGTGAGGTCAGAAAGACACCGAGTTCCGATTGACTTCCATTAAAGGATAGTGGGTAGACGTCAAAGCAAGCTGCCTTAGGGTCTACCCACTATCCTTCAATCAAAACCAATCGGAGCTCGGCGTACCGACGTCACCACAACGCCACAAAAGAAGCAGATGAACTTGCGCTCCGCATAGGCTCAATGGTATCGATTGTGTTCTACGCCTGTCTCGTTAAGTCTTGTCCAGACTATGGACTGGAAAGTTATGCTCCCAAGATGATGGGAGAACTTTGTCCTTTCAACCGCCAACATTCTCCACGTGAAGAAGGATATAATAGAGGTAAATTAACCTTCTTGCACGCCTGCTGAACAATTAAATATGGCATTCAGTCTTGCTCTAACGAGAAATAATGCCGAAATAAGATGCGAAGTGATATATCAAAATTATGTTTTAAATTACTTTGTTGTTAGCTATAAAACGCAGCTTATTTTTCCCTGTTGAAGTATGACGCGTGTAGGTAAATGTAGGTAACGGGCAACAGAATGTTGAAGTAAACTGCAGGGCCCTTAAAGCGGTACAATGGTAAGGCCGGCAACGGCTCAAAGCACACAGCACCTCGACCCGGCGACAACGCACCCGGAGCCGTGTTCCGCAAGTTCACTGTGGGTGGCATAGTTTCCGCGGCTGAGCATGCGCGGCATGGCACGCGTCGCCACCATCGTCGGGGCGGCGTCCATCTTGGCTCCTCGGTGCGGAGACGGTCCCAGCGGCGAGTACTGCCTGTCACCATGCACCCGAGAAAGAATGGCCGCACTGCCGCTGTATTTGCGCACCTCGGCTTCCACCAAAGCCGTTATTGAAACAATCAGAACAAATATTTCCGTAAGCATGGCTTACGGAACTTCCCCAACTGAGGCTAGTTCCAACCGTTTTCTCACGTACACTTACACAGAGATATGACCAGCGTGCTTCATACAAAGCGTCACAACCGGTTAAGGGAGCAGCTTGGCACATGGGACACCAAGCACCAGTCCGACCTGTGGTCGACATAAGCGTACATGAGCTTCCTAACGTCAAAACGGCGTGAACCAGCCTTCAGGGTCACCGAGAAGCCTCCGTGAATACTTTTACGAAAGAGAGTTAACTGCAATCACGTGATGATATATCCTTGTAACTATGTTTACAATGTAACTATGTTTACAAGAGAAGGCTCTGTCATTGAACAGAGGCGTTTTAGTAGACAGGGTTTCTGTAGGGCTACTGTAGATGGGGCTAAAAGGTGGTCCAAGCCAGACTGAATACCGTTCGCCGAATAGGGAGGGGGTAGGGCAGCTGGAGCTTCCCAGCGACAACGTCCAGATGATTAGTAGTTTTAAAGTATCGACGTTTATACGAGCAACACTCGTTTGAAAGTTTCGTCGTGGGACAGTTAGTAGTATTTCCACCAATGAAAAAATTCAGCTAAAGAAACATCAAACGATACATCTGAGTCTAGGGTATGCTTGCATTTAAATATTTATTTTTTACTTTAAATTTTAGAAAATTGGGAATGCAGCAAAATCAAACATAAAATTTGCAGTTTGGTTCGACCGCCCTTTATGAAAGTTCTCTTGCAAACAACGATTTCTGGAATTCTCCACATACCTTACAAATAGGGTTCCCCGTCTCCATGCAAAACTTAATGTTACCTAACGTTCACACCTCGAGCAATTTACTCAAAGTCTGGCTAGACCCAGTTTCTCCCAGACTAAAGCAGACTACCAAGGCTCGGTCAAAGTGATATCTAAACACTTAAAACGAACCATGTACCATGACACAACTGCAGAAGCAGCTACAATTTCGAATTGAAATACCAGCCGAAATATTTTAAGTTGCGTAAATGATCTCTGCAGGCAATTTAGTAGCGTCTAGTATCTTTCAAGCAAAAATACTGCCCAAAAACTTCAACAAAAAAAGGACAATGAGAATCGTAATTGTTTCCTGAATATCAGTTTGAAACTGTTTATCGCCATAATCTGTAAATCTATAAAACCCTAAAATGAAGAACCCTCACTATACAATAACTCATGTTTACAAACAAACCAGGGCGCCCCTAGCGGACGCCATTGGCGCCGCGCATGCACGATGGGGGTGTGGGCAAGAAGCTCGCCGTCGCCCATAAACAAATCATTGAAATGAGATCTTGTCGGCGACGGTGTGAGTCCCCCTGCCCTTTTTCGCGTTCGAATTGTTGATTCTACGTCTTCCTGGCGATGCCCGACTACTTGAGCGGCGTCAGCGAAATTACCGAGGCTCGTTACATCGTAAAACTTTGCCTGAATAATGTGACATGTGGCAATTCATTCAGCGTGAACGCCGCAGTATGTACGCTAAAGCCTGGTTCACACAAAGAGATTTCGCTCGCAAATTTTAGTCGCGACGCCGCTCGGGCTGCAAAAGCGTGAACCGTAGCCGAGATGGTCGACGTCGATACTGAAAATCGCAAGCAGAATCTGACCAAGTGAATCAGGCATAACAAGTCTGTGATGGTCACAGGTAACAATGATCAACATCTCCTTGTATCTCCTGTTTACATCGAGCCTGCTTACCAACCTTCAAACTTAAGTCTTTTGAGGCCTGCACTTACATCTTATCACAAGTACCGGGCCAACACTTGGTCTACGGGCCGGCGTAGTCTAAGAGAGCAGACGACAAGCAGAAACATTCGAGAGAGCAGACGACAGTTCGAACGATCAGGCGGCCGTTTGAACTTGAGGACGCACTGAACGTAGTCAGCAGGTAGTCCGTACAATTTGACAGTTTTCTGGCGTTCATGTTGGAACAAAACAAATAAATATGATGAATGCAAGTATCCATGAATTCAACCCAAAGTGCTTCCCGCCCAAGCAATCGTTGTCCGACGGCGTCTGCTTTTCCCTTTTCACGGCTCATATCCAGATTCTCAGAAAACCGAGCATGTGAAAACTGACCTTGAAACCTTTCTCGACTCTTTTGGTATGGCCTCAGTCGTGGCGTTGTGACAAGGCAGGTTTTTGTCTGCTTCTTTTCAAAACAACGCAGGAATACACGTCTGGCATGGGGACTTCTGCCCACAGCCCCAGACCGGAAGTGCGCCCGACGCGCCACCACCGCGCCGTGACGTCACAGAGTTGAGTTTGTGTAATACAGTGGCACGTGGCTACTGAAGGTGCTTTTATAAATGATTGAAACGTGAATGTTGAGGCAAGTGCTATATTGGTAGCAATTCAGATAAGGAGTGCGTAAGATAATAAAAACATATATGGCCAAAAGATTTAATACACACCATCATTCTTAAGCTGTTCACCGATGCCTACAGTAAGCAAATCTATGAATAGCTATGCTCAATAGAATTACGTTGAGGTGAAAAGAATCCTTAATAAGGTAACTAGGGGTTTTAGTAAACTGCGTAGTTATGCAAAAATAAAAAACAAATTTGAGTGCATTTTAAGATAGATTCGAGTTTGATTTCCTACACAATTATCTCCAATGCTTCAGATCGAATTACATACAGTGCAAACTTTTATGAGCATTAAAAAATAAGCTACCTCTGTAAAGTTTTAAAAAATGCCAAAAAATAAAATGGTGAGATGCCAATTTAAAAAAAAATAAATAAATATATATTTATTTTGCAGAGAGCTTTACAGCTTTATTTAACCATTTCTACGAAACCAGTTCATTAAAATTACTCCAAATGAAATAGTTCATCCAATAAATACGTACAAAGGCTTCTACACCCCACTGTTCTCTTCATTTGGTGTAAAACTAAAATTTAGTTTTAGATTTTGTTTCCAAAGGAACAGTATAAAGAAAGCGTCGATGTGCAGGTTTTTTCTTAATTGTCTAGCAGAAGTATGTACGGTGCTTGCGAGCTGTTTAGGTTTAAAGCATCGAACGAAAATATTTAAGGCGACAATCTTAACAGTTCTAAAGGGCATCCCACGTTTGTGGCCATTTTTAAGAGCACAGAAATTTGCATGCATCGCATATTATAAATGAAAGAATATTTAGCATGAGAGAAGGTGTCTGGTCTAGAATACGTGGTTATGATTGGTGGCTTCCTGCAGCATTTACTCTGCTAAAGTGCAAGGAGTAAGCTTGTCCCGCTTTTCTCAACCTGCAAGAGCTCACTGCTAGTCGGATACCCCAAACTTCATGCTAGTTGGATCTATATGCAGAGATCAAGTCGTCTGCTTCTTGCACGGGAGTTGCGGTGACGTCAGAACGACTCCGAGCTCCGACTTGCTTTGGTTGAAAGGATGGTGGGTAGACCTCAATGCTAGATGCCTTGAGGTCTACCCACTATTCCTTACAATTAGCCAATAAGAGCTCGACGTTCTGACATCATCGCAACTGCTGTGCAAAAAGCAGACAAACTATCGCTGCACATAGGGTTGCTACCGTGAAATTACGACATAAAGCGACCTAGAAAAAATTGTGAGTGGCAGCGGAGGCTTTGTTTTCGACGTTTCGAGCAGAGCCTGCTTTTTGTCAAGTGTAGGGAGATTCATGTTGCAGAACGTTTCGGTCCGAGATTGAGAGAAAGAAGGAAAGTAATATTAATTGAGTCGACCCCGAAAATCAACCCGCACGCAGGGGGCGACGTTTGCCACAACGCACGGGCACGCTATAGCAAAAAACGCAACAACGTGGAAAACCCGGTCGTGGCAGTCTCTGGGGCAGTGGTTCTCAACCATTGTTGTTTCACGGAACTCTCGTGGATCGGCAAAAATGACGGAGGACCCCATTCTTGGTGAGGGGAAGGGAAAGGTATAGGTTAAATATGATAATGCTTCAGTAAATGAATTTAACTAAGGGCTGGTGTAAAGTAGACTTCTCTTATTGACACATAAACGAGAAAACTCGCCCGAGAAAACTTGCTTGAAACTTGAAACGTTTCTGCTCAATCTAAGAAAATTAATTTTATTCCCGGGCTTAACTCGTGAGGTTGGGCTTTGCAGACACCTAGAATGCCTTTGACGACCCCCCTTTGAGAACCACTGCTCTACAGAAACCAAAAAAATATAGCAAAAGGCGGTGTTCCCTTTATCCCTATACCCACCATAAAAACAAAAGTAACAAGTATATAATAAAAACTGCGTCACCAGAAAAAAAACAAAAATCATAAGTGAAGTGAAGAGCAAACAAACGTAACCCTAACTAAACATTTTCTGTTTTCTTTAGGCATTGTGCATTGTGTTTTAAATTTCGATACATATGACTATTTTTGCGAGTGATATTTTTGAAATCACTTTCCATGATGGTAATTTTCAGATGCGTATTGATGTTATGGTACTCAAAGTTGAAGTGTTTAGCAACTGGTGTATTTTCCTTATTTATAATGTCTGACTTGTGGCCATAGAATTGCTTCTTCATGAAAATTTTAGTTTCCCCCACATATTGCAGAGCTTGTAGTTAGTAATATATATCCCGTCAGGAGTCTTGCAGTCAATACATTGTTTAATAGTGATGAAGAAAGCTGTTGTGCAGCTGGAAACACGATCAACAGTCAAAACAAAAGGGCAGAGCTGGCATACCGTAAAATACCGAACATGGGCCCATGTCACATTAAGGGCCCACCCCCTATTTTCCAACGATTTTAAAAACAAACAGAGGACACATCAACCGCCCACCCCCATTATAGGCAAATTTCAAAAAATATGCGAAGAACACGGCAAGCGCCCAGTCGCCGCGGACGGCCGTTATCTCCTGAAGTTGAAGCGACCGGCACAAGCTATGAGTCACGACAGCGCGGGCGAAGGGGGCAAAGGGCGCCGCGGGAATCAGGCGAAGGGCGCCGGCGCGAATCCCGGAGAAAAGCTCACCGGAGAAAAGCTCACCGGAGAAAAGCTCACCGCAAAACTGGCGGATGCGGAGAAAAGCTCACCGGCCATTGAGCGTATGCGGAGAAAGGCTCACCGATTTTTTTTCTTCTATTTATATAAAGGCTGTTGGATCATGCGTAACATATGTCAATTTATCATTAAAATTCGTCAGCTTTGTAAAATAGAAAATCTAATGTTTTGTAATATTTGTTAAGCTTATTGGGTATACTGCTCCCAAAATAATAATTGCGAGTGAGTGTTTTCTGTGGCCTGCTCTCTAGGCAACGAAAGCCTAACTGAAAACTTTATGAACTTTAGGAACAGGAAAAAGTTGAAATCTTAATAATGTCTGCCTAAAACCTAAAAAAAAAAAAAAATGTAAATGCCAATATCCGGAAGTGGATGTGCAACAACGCGCTGCTTGAAATTGTCTTTGAAGCTTTTGTTAACTTTTGAAAAAAGGATAAAACAGTCAGTAAGATATCGAGGCTTTTTTCTTCCACGGACATGCACGTTTTCTAGCCGTTCGTGCTGGCGATCCACACGTTGCCTTTGTGGGATAGTGCTTCTTCTACAGTGAGCCACCCATGACCTTCAGAGCCGCACACTGGCATTGTTGTTACTCGTGAACTATATAAGAACTCGTATTATGAAAAGGAGAGAATTGGGCGAGTTGGCAAACGTTATACATGATGAAAACCGCTCAAATGACGGCGACTGAGTGAAGACAACAAACACGACAAGACGAAGCTGTTCTCGCAACTAAAGGTTTGTTAGTAAAATTAATAGAAAGAAAACATGTAGCGGACACTGATTAAATCAACAAACGCCTTTTTTTTCTATTAGGCAGTGCACAATATTCGGAGCTGAAACGGTTCATATTAGCTCGCAAAGAACAAACCTTTTCAACTGACAGAGCTACCGACGGCCTACTGTCAGCTGTCAATAAATTGCTGTCTTTTTTACCGGTGTACGATGTTCTGATTTTATACTTGTGGCTTCATTTAAATACAGAATGGGTGATTAGAAATTTTTGAGCAATGAGTAAATATGTCCAATGAACTTCAAGAATATTACAAAAAAAAAAAGGACATATGTTAAATGAAGTGACGAATGCGAATTGTGTTAAATTGCCAGGTTTGGCGCGGAATCCGCTAAGTTAAAAACAAAATCGGTGAGCTTTTCTCCGCATCTGCCGGTTTTGCGGTGAGCTTTTCTCCGGTGAGCTTTTCTCCGGTGAGCTTTTCTCCGGTGAGCTTTTCTCCGCCGCCCTCCGGCGCAATACGGCAACACTCGGGCACCGCGGGCATAGAGGTCAAATGGCAGAAATAACAAAAGATACAGGCGAGCTGGTGTACAAAGGAAGAGAGGCAAGGGCACGGTGGCAAGAGTGAAGCAGTGAAGATACACTACGTTGGAAAGGAGAATCTAGCGAATGGAAAGCCGCACAGAGCTTAGCGCGTGTGCCCGTGTGCCTCTGCCCCTCCGCTTCCGCTTGTTGTTCGGTGATTCGGTTAGTTCCGTGTTCATCGCGCTGCATTGCTTGCGTTCGCTCGGTTCGCTTGTTTGGACAATGCACTCGTATACGGTTGCTAGGAAAGTCGAAGTTGTTGAATGGCATAGGCGCCACGGAAAAAATGTAAGCCGGACATCGCGTGAATTCAAGATTGACCGTAAGAGTGCGCGTGTGGGACTCAAAATACGAACTGCTCCTGCAACAGAACCACGGAAGAGCACGGCTGAAACGCAAGCGGAGTGACGGGGCGCCGGTCTTCAGTGAAGAGGTTGATGACGCCTTATCATCAAATGGCCGCCATTTTGAATTAGGCGGTCGGGCCGAGCAAGGGCCCACCCGACTATGCTATCCTTCTGCGTTTTTGCTCTCGGACCTAACAAGCGCCCATCCCCGAGTTTCCCCCGATTATCCCGTAATTTTGAGTGGGCGCTTGCTCGGCATTTTACGGTAGGGTACTCCGACAAGGACTGCAGCCACCAGATGAATCGGGACTTTTTGTATAGGATGGACATAGCATTCTCCCAAGGCTTCAATGCTTACAGAACATGGCAAACGGTGATTCGTGAAATATCTTTTTTAAGTTTGCCGCTAGCGTGCACAATATTAAAATGCCTCTCCACCCAAAATGTCAAAGAAGGTAAAAAAAAAATACCTTAGAGTCATTTCTTTCGGTTAGGTGGGATTTGCTCCCAAGGCTCAAACTTCAGAGAGAATGTAACTTCATTCAAAAACAAGCTAGTTAAAAGAAAATATGCCATATCTATTCGTAATGATGCCACAAGAAAAGCGTTCACTCTAGAATGTGGACACTCCTTCAACCTTTGCAACAGCTCCGCTCTAACGAAGCAGGAGTACCACTGGTTATAAACTACTATTCCAACTTATCGAGCCTACATTCTATTCTGAAGAGGCAATTATAACTAGAAAGGAGAGAAAACTTGCCGTAAGCCTCCGGGCGTTATTGGGCAGCGTACGCCGATGGCAGTTATCTGCAGGGGCACCCCTGCTCCGTTCAGACGATGAAAAGGTCATGGAGGTGCCCGCACTTTGGTGCATCCCTGTGAGCGACAGCACAGCCACGAGCGTCCCCCTGTTGGCTCCATCAGCTTCCGTTAACTTTTAAGCTGACGATGGAAGCTTCGTGGTTAGGGCTGAACGAGGTACAGCACTTTGCCAGGCATGTTTTGCTCATCTTCCAAAGCTACGTCCGAGTGCATGCTGGGCTGCCTCCGCTAAGTATTCATCCGTTTCAAGCATTCTTTTAGCGAACCACCCACCGATGCGTATTTGCGCCATCCATTACAAGCTTGAGGCAAATGGGGCTTTCTCGAGACGCAATAGGTACACGAGATAAGTCATTCCCGAGGCGGGCAAGTGAGCTCACCCGACTTGGGTGTTCTTCGAGGCTACGACGGCGTTTTTCCTCCGCAAAAGCGTTGGCCTCAGCTTGGGCCTCGAAGGGACGCCCGGCTCCCTTCCCGGGCCCCGCAACCTCTCGTACCTGCGGTCCACGGAGGACACGTCCCATCAGCGAAGAATGCGTGCCCCCATCCCCTTCCCCACTCCCGACCGTTCCCCCACCATAGTAAAGCGCTTACCCGGTTTACACATCTAAGCTATTCTTCTATGCAGAACTATGAGCCAAACACTACCTGGCGTGCGCCTTCATGTTAACAAAATGTTTGTAGGCTTTTGTACCGCTTCACTGCATCGCTGCCGAGACTGGGAGAGGTCCCTCAGCAAATGAGGGTTCCTCGGGATTGAGAAGTTTGAGAGCCGCGTCAGCTTTTCGTTACACATCAATAAACCCCCCCCCCCCCCCCCCCCCCCCCCCCCGAGTTGGTTCAATGAAAATCCGAAAAACACCAAAAATCCCCAACTGGAGCCGTCTTGAAAGAGAAAAAATCCCAGCTTCATGGCAAAAAAGCTTTACCTACAGCTTTGTTTTGTGTTGGCCCAAAAGATGGCCGGCACTGAGTCTTCCATGCCTCCCGATCCCATCTACTTCTCTAATCAATACCAGGACGTTTTCCAAGTATATTCGGGTCAGTTTATTGATGCGTTTACGGGGAAAAGCTGATGGCATGTGCCTGTGGACAAAACAGTGGAAAGGGAAGCGTGCCGTGCAGAGAGGAAGAGAGGAGTGAAAACTTTTAACCTTTCCAGGTAGATGAAGAAGGAAGACCAGCAAAGCTGTACTATGGTGGGAATGAAGTAATGGCCGGCCGCAAGTCGGCAAGCCAGAATGGAATGGCTGGACAGCTAACGCCATCTATGAGCGACGGCAGCAACCAGCAACCGGCAAGCCAATTGTCTGGTTGCTGCCATAGCTCACAAATGGCTTTAGCTGTCCAGAGTTTCGTGTCATCCTTTGTTTGCTGATGGACAAGATACTGGGGAAACTAGCCCTTAACAGCCCTGCTGTAAAAACAAAGGCGAGAGGGAGGCGACGCCATGGGGCGGAAGCCAATGAGTGCACGGATGCTGGGACAAGTCTGAACTTGCAGGTGTGTGGAGGGCGTGTGCCTTCTCTTGTGCTACGAAATTGAGTGTGAACCAAGTACTAGCACCGGTCCAAGTAAGTGGCAAAAGAAGACAGATTGTGAACGAAGGAGACGGGCTGCCAAAACCGGAGAATGGCGAAAGCAGCGTCAGGCAGCGGATGCCGCGTGCGAGGCAGGCGATTGAGAACCCCCCAAGGCCAGAAAAAATTGGTGGATTCTTAAGGAATACGTTAGCATGACCTTTGGGAAACGCCACACAAGTCTCCCTTCGGGAAATGATAACACTGAACCCTTAACAAAGCCAAAGAGAGGCAGCAAAAAATAGAGGAAGCAAAAGAGAAAGCCAAAACAGAGAAGTGAAGGGGTCAACGTTACCGATTCCCAAAGGGGGACGCGTTTCCCCAAGGGTCATGCTAACGCATTCCCTAAGGATCCACCGATGGATCTTCCTTTGATCTTTCCTAGCGCTTCGCACTGTCACTTCTTTCCTCGTTCGTATTTTTCAGCGCTCTTTATTCATTTTTATTTATTTGATTCTGCTGGCCAAGGCCGACGGAAGAGGAAAAAGGCATTTCTGCCCACGTTGCAGCTCCGCAATTGTACAACAAAAAACAAAATAATAACCACCCAATAAGTAACAAACAACAGAAATGCGAGATGCGCAAAAAAAAAAAAAAAAACCATACGGTACTTAACTAATAGTTCAAAATACACCATCTATTACGGTTGAAAACAGGATGAGTAAATAGTAGACGATTCCTAACCGTAAACGAAAGAAAATGTTGACGAAGGAGAACTGCGAAAATAAAATGTCTCAATAATATACGTAGTATGGTCGGTGATAGGTTAAGAGCTCCAGGCGAGGAAAAGGAAAGCCGGGGAGAAGGAAGCAGGCAGAATGGTGGAAAGAGGGGGACGTTTCCTCCTCCCCAGCCTTCCTTTCTCTCGCCCTGAACTCCTAACCTGTCACCGACTATGGTGTTGTAGACACTACAACTGCAACAGCGTTTGTATTGTGTTTTCTCGTCTCTCTGCCCTTGTTATTTCATCATGAACTACAACCTTCAATGCCCCCGTTGCAGTCATCCCGCTGTGCTATCGCTTGCTCAATCGCCATCGGCTTGTCTCAGCTTTGTCGTCTTTGCCAACGGCGCACCGGCAAAGGCAGCCAATCTGACACACCACGTTCGGCTTTGGCTAGCAGACGGCATTCGTAAAATGGTGTCGGCTGTTGCTGGCTTCACGCGGCGGTACCGTGCGTGCTTCCATTCATTTGGCGTTTGTTGCCATGGTGGCGGCGATGAAAGCAGACAAACTTTATGTTGCGGAAAAACGCTGCGGCACAGCGATACCAGGTGTGTGCTGAGGCCCTTCTCGCATGCTTTTCAATGAGCGGAAGGCGAACAAAAAGAGTTTGAAATAAGGACTTAACTCAGAAGGCTGCATTTCTTCAGCGCCTCATAATTTGACGAGCCTTGCATGATAAGCATGCTTTTAGACCGGAGTTTGGAGATAAGTTTTTTTTTACAACAACATGGGTCTAAAGCACGGTGCAAGATAATACTCTTCAAGTGAGGACAGCGCTCTCCTCGCAACGTGCCGATAAAGTTCACTTTTCACTCTCTCTTTCTCTCACTATGGTTTCAAACGGCGCCGGCAGATGACTCGTCGACCCATGGGCACGGTGTAAGACGCAGGAGGCAGGCAGGAGTGCACAAGACGGCTCGTGCCGCCTCATGCTCCACACGCGCAGAGCTCCAGCGAGCTTGTCGCACGTGTAGAAAAAACACGGTGTACCGGGGTGTCATGGCAACGCAATAATTTTTTTGCTCTCCCACAGTTTCGCTGTTTGGCTGCCGGCGACACTGTCAGCCGCGGGCAGGGTGGCCGCGGAATAATGCAGCCTTTCAGATGCCCGTCGAACGAACGCTATCCGGTTCCTCACGCCGTGCATTCAGCCTTACCATGTGCTGACCTAAAGCGTGTATCTTACACCATGGTCTAAAGTATCAATAAGCCAATTTTGCTATGGGGGGTATGCTATGCAATTGATACCTTAGGAAAACATATTTGCGGATTCTATTTTTCGCGATAATATTCGAGCCGCAACACTCGCAGAATTTAGGTCCTCACGAAAATTTAGTTGTTTTTCAGTATTTCAATTTCTGGACGAAAACCTCTAGTAGAGAATCAGGCGGTCGAGTCTGCTCTCACCAATTTTCACTCCTCGGTCCTGCGCTGACAAGGCAGAAGCCGAAATATTTTTGAAGTTCTAGGACAGTTAATGCAAACCTTCATACTAAAAAATCCAACAAAGGGACCTCTCCCAAAAGTCTTTTTGTAGATGCCTGGATAGGAGACATTGCAAAAGGCATGTCCCCCTCGCAAAGACGAACATTGTAAGCGTGGAGCAATTTTGCCTGCTCACACGCACCCACTTAAAAATGAGAACCTAGTATTTCTATTTATCTTTTTAACAATACAGTTAAACCTGGATATAACGAAATTGATAAAAGTTTGCAATAATTCGTTACATGGAGGATTTCGTTACATGCAGTTTTCGCGGAAAAACTTGTAAAGGACACGTGGAAAGAAAGCGAAAATTAAAAGTCCATGTGGGCAAACTCACCACATCATTTATTTGGTGGAAAAGAAGTCTGTAAGGTTGCGTTGTACCTATCGCGCGAGCGAAGGCAGCACGCCACGCTCAAAGGACACCAAAGCGTTTAGAGCACTGTCGTCGTCTTGAGAGCTGGACATAACATCGATGGCATCCAAGACCTCCCTCGCGGTAGACACCAAAGGCTGCTCGCCTTTGGTGGCAATCGGACAAGAATATATCTGCATATTAGGTACAGTTGCCGACCGATTATTCGGACTTCGCAGGGACCGAAAAAACGTCCCAAAGATGAGCAGATTGAAAAACTTGCCTTTATTACTTCCAAGCAGGCTCACAAAAGCTGTAAATAGCGCCTTGTTCAGGTTACGCCTCCGTTTCCGTTCGGCAACTTTCTGTCAGCTTGAGAATTGCTGCTTTCTTTTCTAGCGTTGTGGTTGAGTACTTTCTGCGCTTCTTAATGACACATCGCGGCGGCAGAAGAACAGATAGGGCCATGACATCCAAGCCAGCGTTGTGCGAACGAGATAAGAGGCGCAAAACCATGAGCGCAAAATATCGACTGGCGACGCGAAGGAACGAAAAACAAAGCAAAATGATAATAATGAAGATGATGATGACGTGCAGCTAAATGAGAAAAAAAGGCCTAGCATAGCGTCACCTAGCGGTAGGACTCAGGAAAGCCCAAGTAGCGCTGCCAAACCAAGCCAATCCATTGGAAGCCAACATAGAATTCAAAATGGCCGCTTCTCGATGGTGTTTCCGCTGATCGCTTGCGACGATTTTGTCCGAATAATCAAACTTTCGGACTTCAAGCTGTCCGAAACATTGGTCGTGAATATACACTATTTCAATGGGGTAAGTCACGGTTCTGCCCTTAGGCTCGAAATATCGAACAAGTTCAAATTATCGGAGTCCGAAAAAAAAAAAAAAATGGAGATTGCGGCGGAGCAAGTTTGTTAAATCAAGGTTATCCAGTGCGAGCGCTTCGTTACATGGAGTTCACAAATACAAGCGCTTCTATGAAGATCGCGACGGGGAATTGAAAAAGTTCGCTAAATAGAGGATTTCGTTGTATACAGGTTCGTTACATCCAGGTTTAACTGTACTGCAACTATCCCCTGAGAGCCATCTGTCTAAGAAATTAGCTGCAAACTTGTCAATGGAAGAAAGCATTACTATACAGTGAAATCCACTTTTAACAATAATGAGAAAACCCGAAAATTCAATCGTTATAACCAATCATCGTTGCACCTGGACTACAAACTGAGCATTTCTAGTATAGAAACTCTAGAAACTGATCGTTATAAGCAGTACATCGTTATATGAGGTATGGTTGCAACTGGATTACACTGTATATCATTTTCGAGTGACTTTCAATCATGCATTTGGCGAGATAAAAATGAACATGTTGAAACATTGTATAGACATGAATTGCTTCATTCAGTGCAACTGATCCTAGATGATCTGTAATATTTTTCAATACTAATATTAAATTTGCCAAGAAAGGGAGGAATAAAGATATTTTATGCTAACTCTCGTTGCCCTAGCTTCTAGCGTTTAAACATTGGCTCGTTTAAGCAAGCGTGACACATTCTCAAATGCAGCAAGGATAAGTTTGCCCCTTTTTTTAACACCCTCCAGTTTTCTCAGTTCATCTGACGTGGCTAATGTCAAAGGGATGTCAAAAGAGAAGTAATTTCGTAAGCATCCCCTTGGCTGGAAGGGAACAGATGTGCGCCCCTTCCCCTCCTCCACAATTCTGTGTTTTCTGCTTTACAGACGTTTAGCCAGAAAAAACTGACTATCTCTAGGTGTGCTCATTCACTTTGGTCTTTACAACACAAACTCCGAGATGTCTTTCCCCAATATTTGGAGGTTTTCTCACTTAAGCGGCAAAAGTGAACTCAATTGCCATGCTGCCAACTCATGGAAACTTCCAAGAGCAAGCGGGGAAGCTCAAAACACTCGTCCAGCCATTCTGCAAACGTTTTAAGGATGCAACAATAACAAGGGCCAAGTTTGTATTGTGCTCGCGTTTCTGAATCAATCTCCGGGTGACGTGTTTCTGAGATTTGGATTGGCTCGTCGGCCGAGTCGCCTGCAATGTACATTGCACTACACGCACACTTCTTTTGCCGCCGCTTGAGAAAAAGAAAGCTCCAAAGATGCTTCGTTCAACCACCCAAGCATCAAGGAGTATGCTGGATGTGCTGGCATCTGCAGCAGTAACTGTTTCAAAGCGAAGAAACCTCAAATAAATGGCACTTTGCACATGCCTTCCTAAATGCCCCGTTTTGGTTATTTACTTACTAAAATATTAAGGTGGGCTAGTTGGGTCAATGTACTAAATAAATATATATAAATTTATCTTAAATGTATAAACGTAAGCATTTTGGCAGACCTACGTTGAAATAAATATATAAAGCGCAAAAGACATTTGAGGACAAAGACAGCACTCACAACTGGCATATTAATAAATACATAGTATAAAAAATAATATAAAAATACACTTTTTATTAAAACGCCAGTTTAGCGATGTTCTGTCTCCTCATTTTGCGCCGCATATATTTGAATGTTTTACACGGACAAGGCGGTATGTGCACACACGTTGCCAGCATTCACTTTGGTGTCAGGTAATTTGGCTTCCCCGACCCAGGTTTGGCCGAATCTTCCCCGCACTCACCCCGGAGGAGGCTCTCCGTCCTCGGCGGAAGAGAAGAGCTTGGGGCGGCAGGCAAGCTCCCCGTTGTGGCAAGGGGGCTCCTCTCCTCGCCCCGCCCCTTGGACCATGCCCCACGCGTCCACCCTGCGAACCAACCCCATTTTTTGCAGCACCCCGCACCACGACTTGAGCACCACTATGGTGCCCAGACAGTCCGTCTACATCCCACCCATAAGCCAAAAGTGGTGGCAACAAACAAGGCTTTCTGCCATTCGAGTCCCATCTCGCTAGTGTCAGATCGGGGTTTGACGACACCGCCAAGCTTCCACCGTGCTTTTTACGCACGCTGTCCGAATGGTCATTACGCCAAGTAGTTGGGATTGCACCTCCTGTCCTCGGTCGTAATGTCGCCAACCGCGAGAGGTCACCCCCGAAAGATCTAAGAGATGATCCTGGAAGTATCAGGTGCCATTTTTTCGACGCACTACCGACGCGTGGTGTGTGAACCCTCGAATAGAAGGGGTTCTCGTCAGTTTAGCATCGAGTCATGTTAGAATGCAAAGAAGGCAAAGCGGTAACCGACGAAAGAATGCTATATTCTTTACTTCTTTGCATTCTCAACTCGCACTGATGAGAAAGAAAGGATCATGCCGCTTCCAGAATGCACGCGGCACATGAGTCGGCCATGCTAGAATGGCTCCAGAATTCACCACACCATGCGGTGCTATGTGGGACGGCCGGAAAGGCCTCGCCGAATTTTCTGGAAGAGTCCATTTCCTTTGAGCAGACGAGACAAATTAGGGACGAAATCGTCTACGAACGCAAGAGCGGGTGGTCCCAAAAATCAACCACTGCAGAATTTCTCGTGCTGGTTAGTAGTGCTCATCTATGAATACGTCAATAAGCGCAAATAATGTCTTCACAGATAGCTGGAAAGGGATCAAGATGGCGAAGTCCCCTTTTCGCTCTTTTTCTCGGTCTCGAGGTTTTCCAAAGATGAAAGTTTAGCAGTAGTTGCGTGTTTACGATTGCTTTAAACCCAATATCTCAGCAAAGGCTATGTGAAAGTAATAATGTGCTCTAACTGCAGTAAGTACTATTGTACATTTTTTCTATTTAAAAGGGTTATTTATTTATAAGAAACAGCGCCGCTTCATAAATAGATTAATATGTCTTGGATATTTGGGAATTGCTATACATGGTGGCTTTTTTAGGCTTTACGGATTGTTCATTAAAAAAAACTGCGAAAGCTACACTAATAGAGTCTGTGCAGGTGAGTTGTACAGCCAGAGGAACATAACTGTCATGAGAGGTGGAAAAATTAACTGAAATGTGGAAATCAACTTCTTAATTAGTTAACAGATTTGGGGCACATAAGAAACGTTTAATAACCGAATCGTTCTGAATCTTTTGAAAGTTTACACATTTAGTGGTTTTTCATATTGCCCAGCAGTTTTCAAATTAGAACCATACGCTTATTTTAAATAAATAAAAGGTTAATTAACAAAGTTTAGTTACTAATTCGATTTAGTGCGACGATTAGCCTTTCTGGCTGTTTAACTCACCTGCTCAAACTGGATAAATGAAGCTTTTGCAGCTTTTCTAAACAAATATGCAAAGCCTAAAAAAAAAAAAAAAAAAAAAAGGATGCCTTGTATATAATTACAACCACAATTTACAAGAAGTCCCCCTAGTAACCGTAAGAAACTGTCCTTTACTAGATGTTTTACGAAAGAGTTACGCATAAAAGACAGTACACTAAGAGCACATCTTCCGACTTTCAAAATCGGAAAGTCAGAAGATGTGCTGTCCGTGTTCCGTCTTTTATGGGTAATTCTTTAGTAAAAATTGTATGCAATATCAACGCGCTCCTTAAAAAGCTGTATCCTTTATTCGAGAAAGATATCCGAAATCCAACTGCAGATATAAAATCGTCGCTAGAAAATAACATCCGCATATCCGTTTTGAACGAGAGTTCTACCGTTTTTACTCGAGTAATAGCCGCACTATTTATGAACAAGGCCCTCGCGTCTACTTTTCCGCAGAACACATACACAGCCAATCATCGCGTTGCGCATAAATAACATAGCAAATAATCAAAGAGAGAACACAATTCTCCATACAAATGCAATCTTCACAAATGGTATCTTCGCGCGAAGACGATATCTGTCCTGTAAACCACTGGAATTGTGCTGCCGATTGCGGTGATTGGCAAGCCACACGCTTCGCAGAAAAGTGAACCCTCAGGTTTCCTTCATAAACAGTGTGACTGCTCGAGTAAATACGGTATAACACGACGCATACCTGCACGGTTGTGCCATTTTGCCTCGTGCAGTGGTGTAAACAGATTAGGCATTCGTTACATTACCCAAGCACCGGGGAGCACGATGCTAGTGTAGTTACCTATGCCGGCATCTGCAACAATAACCATTCTAAAGCAAAAACTCCAAAGACCCTCGCACATGCATTCATCTATGCCTTATTTTCGTTATTTACTTTCCATATATCTATAAGGCGAGTGCATGCAGAACATTCTCCTCGACGCATGGGGGCAAACGGTTCAATAGTCTCCACAAATCTCGTTTTTTGTCCCCTCTCGCATCACCTTTATAGGCCGCCTCGAACGGTGCATATCGTCGTAAATCATCACACTATTATATTCTCGACACCGCAGAGTCTCGAAACTTCTTTCGACTTAGTTTTCCTCTTCCACGCTTTTTGCTCGTTACTTAACCTTGTGATGGTGCGCCTTTGCTCGTTTCTTTTTGCTTCTTAGCTCTGCCAGTGTCTGCGTTTGTCCAGCAACGATCGCTTATTTCGTATCATTTTAGATCATGCAGGCCAACACTCCATTTACAAACGAGCCTTGACGAGGTATGGGAAAACGCACAGTTTACGCACGAGGTGCGGGCACTGCACGTGCGAGGGAACCACATACACGTGGAACATCCGCGCACGCTCCCTGCCAATAGCAGCGCCGCCGCAGTGGTGGTATCGTGCAGTCGGCGCCGTGTGTGGGTCTATACCTCGTGGGCAGCGACGCTGCACACACTTTTGCAATGTTTTCGAGAAGTCAAATTTGGGGGTTTTACCCACCGAACCCAAGAAAGGCATCCAGCACGTACCGACCGGCGCTTGGTCCCGAAGCTATTGTACTGGCTTAGCAACGTTTCGACATTTTTCGAGACCTTTATTAACCGCAAACTTGTTCCGCGACGTTGTACGGTCTTTGCTATCCCTTTCTTTTTCTGGTCTTCCTGCTCAAACCATCTAGTAATCCGCGGAGTGTAACGAATTAATAAATTATTCAATAAGCTGCCCGATGTAGGATAAAGAATAATGACGATGGTACGCATAGCTTCAGAGCCTTTGAAAGACATTTTGGCAGAAGACATTTTTATATTTATGAACTTCACCTTGCTAAACCAGAGCTTCAAGTTTCATCCGCCAGAAGGCTTACACGTGACATAGTATTTTTGCACAGAGTAACTCATCATGATATAGACTCCGAGCTTTTACGCAAAGTTATTTTTAATGTTCCGGCTCATTTTAATAGGAGTGCTCTTACTTTTTACACTCAGAACAACCTAATCTCATTGCCTTTATCTTGAATGCAGATACATGTATAATAATTTTGGAAATGAAAACTTAGATATTTTCAATAACTATGTTGAATTCAAAAGACAATTGCATAATGTGCTATTCTATTCTTAGTGATGTATATTACTTGCTCGTATGGATATCAGTTCTTCATAAGAATCCATGGATGTATATTTTGGCATCTGGAATTTGTGTATGATCATTTTCTTAACTTTTACATACCAGTGCCGCATTACAGACTTCTGGTCGTTTATGGGCACAATAAAGAGAAATGATGATGATGATAATGACTAACGAATGTGAATAAATACAAGTAAACATTTTTTCTTAATTGCGTGTCTCAAAGCCCGTCTACTCACAGAGGCTGGGCGTGACGAACTTCGAGGGGCACCTTGCCCTTCCTCGGCGAAGTGGACAACGAAGTCCTCGGCGCTTTGCCGGAATTCTTGGCCTTGAGCGGCGACTTGGAGCCCTTCCCGGGTAAAGACGAACCCAGGGTGGTATCTGACCAGCAGATCGGGTAACGACTGCGCAAACGCAAACCCAGACGGTCGGTCCATTATCCGAGCAAAGTGGCAATCCATTATCCAAGCAAAGAATATTTTGACTTAAAGGGCCCCTGAAAAGAAAATAAATATATTTTTTTAAACAGTTCGGTCGGGACAAGCCTGTCAAAAAATTATTTCCGTGAAAAAAAAATCTTTTTAGAGAGATTTTGACGGTGCGAGATTTATTTTAAATTCTGCGCACAAAGTCCATGACGTCATGGAATTGTCGTACACACTTTGCACCTCAACGTGATGGCCAAGCCGATCCACCTCTCGTCTACGCGCCCAAAATGCCGAGAGAAAACAAGCGGAAAGAAGGTGATTACTGACTAAATCACGTCTTGCGCCATCAATATTGCTCTTTAAAAAAAAAAATTTTTTTTCCGTAAAATTAATTTTTTGACACGCTTGTCCCAACCAGACTGTGGAAAAAAATTCTTTTTTTTTCTTTTTAGGGGCCCTTTAACGTAAGTGCTCTGCCAATTTCTTTAGCCACCCCAACTACCCTAAAATACCAAGCCTACGTCTACGCCGCAATAAGTGCCCGCCTCTATTTTTAAAACATTTGGAATGTAGGCCTCGAGCGCCCGCCCTGGATAATGTCTGATGTGACTATTTTTTGTTCTTTCAGTAAATACCGCCTAGAATTATTCCTCGACACTGGTAACCTTGGAAACACTCATTAGTTTTTTTTTCCACACCATTGCAGTCGCGGGAAAAATTAGAGAAAATCGAGCAGCACTCACCCCCCAAATCGCATCCAGAACAAGCGGTCACGTGATCTGGATCTGACTATATGCCACCAATGTTTAATCATAACTACGAACTGGGGTCGGCAAAGCACAGGGCACAAATCGAATGTCACGGGCCCAAATCGAACGCCCACGCAACGCCCGTGTTCACCGTACGAGCCGCATTTAAATGTTACAGGAGGGGTTTGTAAAGCTCCAGGACCAAATCCTGGGGATCACATTGTCGACAACGCCAACGATGCGATCCCGACAAGTTTTTCAACAAGTTGTGCAAAGGAGAGAATGAAAGAGGAAGCTCGATTTTATCCTCGGAATCACGCGGCGATAAAGAAGCTTCAAGTATTGGCGAGTACAGCTAAGTCGACGGCACATAGTGGCTAAAACAGAAAATTGCGGCCGCAGGTTCGCTCTCCAGCTTTTTCGAGCGATTAAGATATTCACAGCGCCTGGCAGTCAAAAGATGAAGCCTTCAAAAGCATGCAATGAAAATCATTGATACACGGGTCCCACTAGTGCCAGTAAGCTCGTGTAAAGTGAGAAACACTGTTAGCCAGCACCGTTGCACAGCCCCTTTAACCGAGGCGCAGCTTGATCCGACTGGAAAGGCCTCTGCCTCTGCATCTCCCTTCAATCGAAGCCAATGAAAGCATTGTCTGCTCTTTCTGCTGGGTCTGTAGCTTGGCATTCCAACGCGGAGAGCAAGCCACAACTCCTGCTTCTTGCGCAGGAGTTGTGGCGACGTCAGAAAGACGCCGAGCTCTGGATGGCTCCGATTGAAGAATAGAGGGTAGACCTTAAAGCAAGCTGCCTTGAGGTCTAGCCACTATCCTTCATTGAGAACCAATCAGGGGTCGGCATTCTAACGCCACCACAACCCCTGCAAAAGAAGCAGACAAAGCTGCGCTCCGCATACCACATACCCATTACAAAGAGCAGACGAAGCTCTTATCTGCTCCGACTGGGGAAAGACGGAGTGTAGAGACGAGCCTTTGCATCTACCTACCACCCTTCCAGCTGGAGGTCCGATGTTTCAGCACGCCCCCACCCGCTTCAGTTTGGTATTAAGATGTACGTGGGGACACTCAAGAGCCGATGCATTAAGACCAGGGGATGAGTGCATTCGCAACAGTATGGGATATCAAGAAGGCCAAAATCTAGTCCGTGAACAGAGACTGTTTGCTGCCAGTTCAGGCCACCTCAGCTTGACTGCAGACTCCACTTTAAAGCCACATTGCTGTACAAAAACAAAGCATGGAAGGTAGCCAAGGAACATTTGGCAACTCTACGTCGAGGTTGGTTCACAAATTTGTGGTGTTTGTTTGACTGCATCAATGATAATGGTAAAATGGGTACTGCACTTTCAATGTGCCGAAAAATGCTGTGGTGAAAGGGCTACTGCGCTGCGACCACTTGCGATGATAGAAGAACACGCTGCCTGCATAGAACTGTGAACTACCGTATTTACTCGCGTAATAAATGCACTCGCATAGTGAACGCACGCCCCACAACGGGCGTCAATATTTTTACTTTTTTTTTTCCCTCCCATAATCAACACGTCTCCTATTTTCGGATCTGCGAGTCTCGAATTACGTCCAATTTAGCAAGCCACCAAGCCAGTTTTCCTTTGCCGCCAAGCGAGCATGCCAAGTCAAGCCAAGCCAAGCCACTCTGGCAATGGCCGCCAGTGCGTAGTTGCGGAAGTGATCAACCGTGAAACCGAGTGTTGTGCACATTTGACGAAGCTTGGGTCGAAAAATTGCCGAGCCCCGGACATTCTTCGGCTATCAGATGCATTAATGTCAACAAACAAGCCATCGTCTGTGGTCCGCTTTCAAACAGAATGCATTTATTTAATCCGTAACAGAATGACACAGCGAGGTGCACACTGCGCTGTAGGCTGAGAGTGTCTGGTACCCTCTCCGTGAACGAAACTTGATCCGTGCTTGCAGGCTTCGGCGGTTGGACTTCGTACAAGTGCTTATACACGTAGTCGCCTAGTCGCCGATATACCTGAGCGCGCCGCCGGATACTAGCAATATATATTGCCTAAGAACAGTCAGATTGCCTTTCGTGCTGAGCGAGCTTCGTAGGGCGCTTTTCCTTTGACAAAAGGCACCCCGAAAGCGCCCTAAAAAGGTTTGCAATTTATGGTTACTGTGGCATGCCCCCGACCAGCTATAGGTGCGCCTCCATCACTGGAGACGTTCCACAGTACCTTGTCGTGTCATATTGGCGCCTAATGTGTGTAAATGCAGAAATTTTAGCCCGTGTAATGAACCCCCCCCCCAATATGTGTACATTTTTTGGAAAAAAAAAGTGCATTCATTATGCGAATAATTATGGTATAGCTTATCTGCATAGAACTAGGTGAAATCCCCTAAAAATGCCTGTCCAAAATGAAGAGGTAAATGGTAAAAAATATGGGGTGGGCAATCTTTAAAAATATGTCGGTTAAATTTTATCAAAAATTTGCAATAAACACTGGGGCACCCGCTCAAACCTTGCGAACCGCAGATCATAAATTCACATTTCAGGGCGCGATGAACGTGGGGGAATTCGCTACAAACTCCCGCGTCGCGGGGATGGATACCGCTTCACGGTGCGACAAACATGCGAGAACCCGCTACAAACCTGGGTGTCGCAAGAACCTATATCGCGCGCACACGTCACGGACAAAAATTGCGGGAACTTGTACATTGAGGCAATGAACACCGCAAATTGCAAACGCGAGAGATTTGTGTGTCGCGGTGCAATAAACACGCGGGAACCCGATAGAAACTCGCTCGTCACACGTACTGGCACCGCAGACTGCGCAGTCCATGCAATTCCCGTGGACATCACGCGACATCCGACAGAAATTGGGGGTGGGCGACGTTTAAAAATTTTTTTGTTAAGGTATTGCAGCATTCGAGAGATCTACCATCTACCACCATATACACCATCTACAAAAAGAGGTCACTTGTAACGTCGTCGGAATTATTTCGAGCCCACGTCAAAAGGACGCTCGACGCAAGTGGGAACGTTCCAGGGTCGGTTGACAGATGGCGCTGGCGTCGTCGCAGGCGGTGCAGTAGTAACGCGGTTGATTGCGCTCAAATGCTATTGAGCGAACAAGCCCACCCACACAGACGTTAGTCACTTAGTCACAAGGAAAAGATGCACTCGGGGAAGAGAGAGTGAAAGAAAGGACTGACATGGCTTCCCTGCAGAGCAGCACCCTCGAGAGCCTGTCCCTCTGGTGTGCTAGGCACAGCTTGGCCACGCGGTGCCTCTGCCAGCTCGCCTTGACCCCCTGAAGAGGAGGAGGGGTGGGGCCGGGCCTGTGGAAGACGCAGCCCCGCGCTGCCACCTCATTGCATTCTCAAACCCCCTTTCCCCGACTGTCTGGATTGCGTCTCCGACGGGCCTGTTTGGCGTCCGCCCGTGCGGCAGTCCTGGCAACGGACGAGCTCCCAAAAGTCCCGGTAGTTATCAAGCGTACAAGTCACGGTAAAACTTCTGGCCGCTCCCACATCCACCGCTATTCAACAACGGGGTGGGAATGGAGGGACCACTTTCGACGTCGTCGGTCGGAGGTGCATTCCAGGCGTCCAGACTGAATTCCCCTTTCTCGACCGCCCCCGGGTATTTTCAGACAGCTTAGCCCTTGGCGCATAGGCAACTTTGGGCCTCCCTATAGACCATTTGCTAAATCCCCCAAGCGCCCAAGTCCGCGCTCGATGAACCATGGGAACGGTGTTCCTTCAGCACCCTAGTGACTGGCAATTTCAACCACTTCCATGGTTACAGTGTTTTGAGTGCAGTTCGGAGTCATTCTAAACAAGCGTCAAATAGCGCCCAAGGACCCGTCATATCACTTTTAAAATTTCTCGTCAATGTCAGCGTATTTGATACTGTGCATGCTGTCCACCCTTCAACCTGACTGAGCTGCAGAAATCTTACATTAATATCATTTTCTTACAGCTTCAAAGAAGCTGATATTAAGTTAAAAACGCTAAAAATGCTATAAACAGCCCCCCGGACTCCAAGCTAAATCCTGGTTTTGGTTGTTGTGAATTCTTTGCTTTTTAAGCAATTCCTGCTAAAACAACAATCATGAGAATGATTATATTGTAAGAGATTTCTGCAGCTCAGCCATGTGGAAAGGTGGATCGCATGCACAGTATCAAAAATGCCGACACTGATGAGAAAATTTATAAGTGATGCGACAGGTCCTTGGTCTCTATAAGGCGCTCGGTAAGAATGACTGAATTACGCTCAAAACTGTGTAACCATGCGATTGGACGAAATTACCGATCACTAGGGAGCTGAAGGAACACCGTTCCCATGATTCCTCGAGTGCGGGCCGGGGCGCTTGGGAAATCAGCAAATGGTCCATTAAACTGCCGTTTACGACGTCCGTAAGGGCAGACCGGGACTTCCATCTACCCTATTCCACCATCCTTTTCTTCCTGGCTTTGTTTGAACCGGGTCAATGAAAAAGGGCCCAACATTAAACGTTCGTTCCGGTCGTCGTTCGAGTTACTTCGGTGACCTGCGCCGCTTTACCGCGTAATTGCCCAGATAGGGAGGGGTTCGTTGGCTGCCGCTCGAGGTGGGAAGACGGCCCCTCGCGCCGCAGACGATCCTCCGGCACGAGGGGTCGTTTGCGGGGCCACTGATCCACACCTTATACCGCGAGCCGAGGTGACCAAAACACGTCCCTTCGCACTCAAGAGGTTAGAGAAAGTGAAGAGTTTCTGCACCCAAAAGAGAAGGGACAAAAGGTGAGAAAGAGTGATTGCACGTACAACGACGACGCTCTGCCCCGGCAAACTCCATTCTCTTCGGCGAACAGTGAGCGACGTCTCGGCTGCGAGCTCTTTCCTTCACCATAATGCGTCCGTAGTCATTAGTCGACAAAAACAATGTACCGTTTCGACTATTTCGTTTCCCCTTTCTCAAGGCTCAGTCCTCCGTTGTAAAAAAAAACTATGAATTTTCTAAATCTGTGAAAAAGGTAAAGCAGTCATTACTGTAAAAGCTTGGTCTGCTGGGCAAGTTGGTAGTGGACATTCATATTAAAAATAGCGCAAAAGAGACGGGACAAAAAGACGAAGAAGCACACAGGACAAGCGCTATCCTGTGTGCTTCTTCGTCTTTTTGTCCCGTCTCTTGCGCAGTCATTACTAACGACTAGCATGGTGACTTAAACAGTGCAAATAAGCTAAAGAAGGAAAAGACAACAGGACGGAAAGAGTTCTGACTCACAACTGAGGTTTTAATGAAGGAGTAGCAAAAAAGAAGTAAGATGTCAAGTGCGGTAACATTAATAAAGTAAGGAAGAGAGAGGAGGTATAGTTACAAAAATTAACCTCTTTGAGAGTCCTTTTAAAGAAATTACAATTTACATTATTAAGCAATTCCCAAGTGAATATATCTATGTTAAAATATTCACATGTGAACAAGAAAGTTGACGGTGACCTAAAAGGGTACTGACTATCACAAGAAGGAAAAAAAGAAGAAAGAAGACAATAATTTAGAAACTAAATTTAAAAAATTCGAGCTCTTTTGCCGTTGGAGCGATCGAAGGCGTGCTTATACAGGCTAGGCCCTTATTCGCAATCTTGCACGCCTCATACACCTCTCGTCTTTTGCTCCTTAAAATGCACCCGCAATCTCTCGCATCTACAGCAAGATGGCCCACTAGTGTTGACTTAAGGGAAAGTGCATGTTTTCCAACTCTCACACTGATGCACCTCCCAGATTGTCCCAGATACAGATTTCCACATGACAATGGCTTTTCGTATATGATGCCGCTCTTACATTCCATTTGCGCTGTTGAAGTCAACATGTCTAACCAACTCGCCCAGCAACTCATTTTGGTATAATGACTAGCAGATGATGCTTGCCACCGCACGTCCCAAGCAAGAACCAGACACTCGTTTTCAAACTTTTCATTCGCGAGGAACCCTTGCCTTTCTCGAGTGATAGCCGAGAATCCCTTCCCAGTCCGAGCAGTGGTGCAACGATGCAGTCCAGAAACACACACATCTCGTGACATTACTAAGGATTGTTTAGCACACAGCTATGCGTCAATAGGGGGCCCAGGTCTAATGAAATGCTCTTTATAAACTAGAAAAACATCACCTATGGGCACTCCCTGCCCACAAGTAATGTTTTTCCAGTTTTTCTAGAGGCTCGAGAAATTTGCAACTTTTTTAAGCACCATCTCTAACTGTACAAAGCAAGAAAAGGAATACCGGTCCTGTTACAAAGATGATGACTGGAGGATGAAGGAACTACACACGCGTCGGGCAAATCCATGTTGCTCCAAGAAAGCAAATTCAGTGGGCCAACGACCACTTGTCTCGACTGCATTACGATGTTGCGACGAAGTAGAATTGTTTGAAACGCGTGCAGCTGCCTCGGCGAAGCACTCCGAATAGATTTTTCTCTTATTGTTAGCGGCTGCACTAATCGCCATGCGCACGGATGCGCTGCGGGAAAGTGGGAATGGTGGAAGGAGGGCTTCTTCCAATGCCTGCGTGCATTACGGGAAAGTAGCCACTGGAGTTGGGGCTTTGCAAACTAAGACACACTTACCCCCTGGAAACAACTTGCCTGCCCATGATACAAATGCAACGTTAGTACAAACATGTTAGTCTAGTCACACCATGTTAGCTAGAGAACATCGGGAAGTGAAAGTATGGCAATGCATTTTAAATTAAGTGTGTCATGCAGCAAGAACAGAAATTGGACAACATGCGAAGTAAGCCAGAATCAATGCTGCATTCAGACATCACAATGTTAAGGTGTTAGTAATAAGAGTCAATCTAAAAGCATGAAATCATTCTGCATTCCTACATGCAAGTAAAACAGAACAGTGGCAGATATGCGACTTTGTGAGAGAATGTCTAGGTCCTATATAGTAAACTTTAAATAAATTAGAATATAAATAAAAACACACAAATTGATTGGGCTCTATTTAAGAGAAAATATAGCCACAAAATTCCAAATTAAAAAAAAAAAAAAAAAATTTTTCAAAATTGATTTACACTATTAATTCGTCGTTATAATGAAGACAATGGGAAGGCAAAAATATTCAATATAAGCGACAATTCGACAAAAGTGAGAGTCAACAAAACAGTGCCAGCAGCCTCGAAGGTGGACGGGAACACTACGATACATTCTGACAGTGGATTTAATCAAACCTTGGTTATGAACATCTCTCGGCAGCTTTACCGAGTAAAAAAAAAATTAAATGGAGTTTGCTGATAATTTCATCCGGGCATCAGTTCTTCTCGAACTACTCCAGGCATCGCAAGAACACTGTCGCCGCCGCTGCACTCCACTTTGAAGCAGCCGTAGGATGTTTCGCGTCTCCGCAGTCGTTGGCGTTTCCCCAAGTGCCTTTCCGACGCCGCTTTGTGTTTACCCTGGCCGCACGCAAGGTCTACGGTCCCAGCATCCGTAACAGGAGCAACAACGGGAACGTCCGCATTGACAAGCACGAACGAATCCAAGTTAGCCTCGGTCACTTTGCCAACCATCTTTTCACAAACTCCCGTACAAATCGCTGCAGCTCTGGGAATCGTGCGCTGACTCGGCAAGCATGCTAACTAAGAAAGTCCGACGGTCGCAAAGCAGTTGGCGACCTTTTCATCTTTGGGTCACGAGCGCACTTTCTCCTGCATGAGAAGCTTTTCAAACCCGTCCAATGTGCCTTGCTTGTTCTGCAAAATGGTGGAAAGTGTCGAACAGCCGATGCCGGGACGTCGAATTCTTCGGTGACTTCGGACTTGGATCGGTAACTTTTCTCAACCTCGCAAATCTAAGCGACTTTCAGTAAACGCTCCAAGTCTCCCATACGACGCACGTGTACGTGTAGTATGCCACAGGTGCGTGCGTTGGGGGCTGCTAAAGGAATGATCTCCTCCGTCGCTCCCTTGATCACATTCCGACGGGAGTCGGGCAGCGTCAGTTACGGGCGCCGTGAGTAGAGTCACAACGCGGACGCTGTTGACGCTGCTCCCGCTGTTCCCTGCCCGCGTCCTCGCATTGACGCGCGGTGCTCCGAGCTCCATCACCCGTTTAATCCCTTTTCTTGTTTGCCATTTTTCCAGTTTGACGTCTGCTTCGGTGGAGAAGGGGGGGGGGGGGGGGGGGGGATGCAAGGGTCTCTGTGCACCCCTGTGTAGGCTTGCATGCTTTCGGCACCGCGGCCTTCGTAATATGCGCAGTCGGCCGCCGATACACTTAATATAATCCGGTTAAAAAGGCCTGCATTTCGGTCGGGATCATGTTGAAGTTCAATAAAAGCATCTAAGAAAAATAACTATCAATGGCATCGCAAGAATCGGTAGGCTCAAAAACACTAGAAGGTAGAGAGTTCCATTCCCAAATGGTGCGAGGAAAGAAGAAAAATTTTAAATGGTTAATCTGTGCAAAGATTGGTGTTGACAAATATTGATTATGGTGCCTCGTAGGCCGTGACATTAATGGGATAAGGTGATTATGTGTGCTAAGCCATACATTGTTTTGTACCATAAGCAATAAAAATTTTAGCCCGGAGAGCTTCGTACGCAGCTCAAGTGTAGCTATGCCATTCGTTTTCATAAGGTAAGATGGAGAGTCTAATCTTAAAAATTTTCCATAGATGAATCTCAATGCGCGCTTTTGAAGTATTTCCAGCTTCGAAATGTTCTTTTTAGTGAAGGGATCCCAGACAAGGCTGGCGTATCCAAGTTTCTATCACACAAAAGTGTTATAAGCTAAAAGTCTGACACTAGATGGTGTTTTCATTAGTTTAAGGCCAAGGAAACCAAGTTTACGGAATGCAGATGAGCAGATGTTATCGATGTGTATATCCCACGAGAGTTAGAAATCGTCGGTCCTAGATATTAATCTCCGAAACTTCACGCACAGGGGAGCTACAAACATCGTAAATAAACTCGAGTGGAAATTTTTTGTTGGTAACCCATAATGAAACAGTTCTAGAAAAAGTGGGTTTTTAAAAAAAATATTTTCGTTTATTGGTTTATTTTTGTGATTCTTTCCGCAGGCATTTTCCACCAACATCAATGAACTGTTTACGCCCTTGTAGATATTATTTAATACGTTTAACAACAGGACCCAACATTTTCTAATTTGAATACTAATTTTCCATGAGAAACTCAGTCAAAGGCTTAACTGAAATCCAAGAATATGATGTCTACATGACCAGATTTATTGAGACTAGCGGCGAAGTCGTGAACCGTGGTTAAAAGCCGAGTTGTGGTGGAAAATCCCTTTCTGAAATCATGTGGGAGGGGGACAAAATGTTGCTCTCTTCCAAAAAGAAAAAATGAAGTTTAAAATGATATGCTCCACATGTTTGCAACAGGTGTGTGTGAGAGAAATGGGACGATAGTTTGTTAGCGATAATGGGTCTCCTTTCTTGAACACAGCAACAACACGTGCCAAGAGCCAGTCATTCGGAAGCACACTGGTGATAAACAAAGTATGAAATATTATCGTCAAAAAACATGCCAGTGACTCTGCATACCGTCGAAGAAAAATATTTGGAATCTTATCGGGGCCTACGCCAGACTTCGTTTTTAGATTTAACAGCATTGAAAAGGCACCTTGATAGGAAATAAAATCGGTAGTCATGGGTGACGAAGAAGCGCAACATTCATACTCGTCTTTTTCTCCAAACACTTACTGAAAATAAAAGTTGAAATGTTGAGAAATTTCTTTTTTATCTGTTACAAGACCGTCATTTATCGTAATTATTTCAACAGGAATATTCTTGCTGGCCAATTACTTCCAAAATTTCTCAGGGTCATCCTTCAGAAAAGCCGGCAAATCATTTACATAGTAGCTTCCTCTAGCCTGTGCAACTCTGCTGGTTAACTGTCTGTAACTCGCGTAACCTTTTGGGATGACATTTTCTTTTTCTCATTCTTTTTAATCTATGTTTGAGATAAATCATGTTTCTATCAATCCACGGATTGGTTTGTTTTGGACACCTGTGTCTATTAGGAAGGAAGTTGTCTAAGCAAAAGATGCACATAAGCTTAAATCTTTGCCAAAGAACAGATACATCAAAATATTATTTGGAAGTCAGCATTTCGTACCGGCGTGCGGTCGTGTATCACTACACTGTAAGGCATGTTTAAAGAACCCAGGTTAGCAGTCGTACTGCACTGGCACAATTGCTCATCTACAGTGTAAACCAGTGTCGCCCCATCCAGGCAGACCGACCTTACGCTGTATAAATCCCTAAACGTCCAATTTAACTTTTGATATTGGACAAACTATTCTATATTTGATTAGAAAATATTCGGCCAAACCACTATTCGCTTTGACTTTGCTTCGAACTCAAAATCCACTATTCGCACATGACTAATAATTAGATATGTGAATATGGTAAAAGATAAACTCTTGAATGGGACAAATGAACCATCTGAAGATGATACCCCAAGTCATCAAACGATAAATGTAGGCCGTTTTTTTTTTCCTCTCTAATTCTCTACTTGTAAGCTGACTGAGTTAAAGGAGCCATGAAATTATTATTTTGCTTCGGCTAAATGCATTTCAGACCCATCTCCAAACATTCATAATGCATACAACATGTGCACTTATTTCTCGTTACGCACACAAACTGTTATGCACTAACTGTTACGGGAAATACCAGAGCAAACAGAAGCGCTAACCTCTTCAACTGATGGCCAAAAAAGAGTTGACAGGTGTCATCCTAGCGGCTGGTGCCATCAGTGCGACGATATGACCCAGGATAAATTTAGTGGGACATTAGTCCCCCAAATCCGGCCAATTAGGGCACAAATCCCTTAAAATGCACTTCAAATTAAAATCAATTTCCTCGAAATAAGCGTGCATTGTCCCGATCGACAAATACGCCCCTTACCCGCTGACTGCCCTCGCAGCGGGGCGTTGAGCAGACTGCGTAGGTGGCACCAAAGACGCCGCCTGAGCAAGAGACGACGTGGACGCCGAGTCCTGCGGCCGACTGGACGACCAGGCGCCACTCTCCTGCGCCATCTGCTTCTGCAGCAGCAGGGCAGCTGCCTTCCTCCGCTTCCAGATCAGCTTCGTCGCCTGAGAGCGCAGCGGGTTGACCTTGCGCGTCTGCTTGCGGCGACACGGCCGCCATTCGTCGTCCCCGGCGCTCGAGTCGCTGCTACTGCACGGTAAAAGGAGGGTTCACGCATCTGCGTTGGTCTACGACCGAGTGTGTCTTGGTCTCGCGAGACCGCTTACAGCGAGAGACCACACTGGCGCCGTGCGCGACTGGCAGTCAAAAGGTTGGCGATCCATGACCGAAAATTGCCAACAAATTACCGAACGCGCGATAGAGCCCTAAGAGTTTAAAAGACCGGTCGGCAGCTGACCAAACGTCGTCTGTCCACAGAGAAGCAGTTCGGGACTTCCAGTGTATCGGTTGCAAATTGCTGTAAAACCCTTTATTTTCGCGGCCCCCATTTTTAGCAAATCGGTCACAGAAGACATAATCGAAACCTTAAAAATGAACCGAGTAGAAGAGTCCCAGTTCTAAAGCAAACAAATGTCGGTTAAGGCCATTTAAGAAGAGTGACTCCAGGGTGTGAGATCGGTGTGCCACTTTGAGGAGTCTAAGAAGAATAATTCGAGAAAAATATCCTAGGTTGGAGGCACAAAGATTTTCTGCTAGCTACCAAAGTTGGTGTTTACCAAGCATAAAAAAAAAAAAAGACTGCATTTGAAAGGCTAGTTTTTCAATTCCTATGGAGTGTAGGAATTGAAAAACTATCCCTTCAAATGCAGTCTTTTCTTTTCTTTTTTGGCAAACAGCGAAAGCCACAGTCCGGGCGAGCCAATTAGAGCCTCGCAGCGACGCAAAGGACAGCATACCGTAGCAGAGCACTCCCACCGAGAAGTGCCATATGCATCACTCCATCACTCTACCTGGCACACTATAGTTTCTGCTCTATCAAATCACGCTGAAACAGGGTACTAGGATGTGTCCAGTAATAGAGACATGTAGTAGGTCGCTCCGACGCCTCCAACACCTCCGATAACGATACAATGCATGTGCAGAGGCGGCGGCGGGGTGTAGTTATCACAGCCGTCGGAACGGTCGTAGGACTCTCTAATATAGTAATCCCCGATTCCTTTTGACTTAGTTTTGTGAGACAAGGTTATAAAAAAAGTGATCAGCATTGCATCAAAAAAACAAGCGTTACATTTTTTAAACTCTTACCCTTTAGACAAAGTTGTATAGTTTCTGAAAAGTACAGCTTGACTAATTGAAAAGATTTCTCTTTGCTCTAGACTGAACAAAACCAAAAAAGGACTGGTTTCAGCTAATGGTAGAGCTGCCAGGTTTGGGTGTTCGAGGAAAACCCTTAAAGTGAATCAAGCTCTTGGCCTCCTTCGAGGCCACTTATATTCGACTCAATGTTGTGCAGGTATGGGTCACAAGTACATATAACAGTGAGCCACTACTTGGTGTCCTCCGAGCTAGATTCCCAGCAAAGTTATCTTACCTTCCATCTGAGGGGATCCATGGCACGTGAGGCTTGTGCAGCTCATCGGAAACTCCGGTCTCCATCGGACGATCTGTAGAACGGGAAAAGTTGCCACTTAGAGGAAAAATGTTTAAGAATCAATCGCACAGACCAATAGAGCTTTTGACGAATTGCCCAAACATAAAGAGAGATACTGGGAATATAGGTACACAGAGAGCACATGCTCGCCTCATCAATATAAAAAAGTAAATTAATGGAAATAAGGCATTGACGAACGGACGTGCAAAGTGCCATTCATGAAGGTTTTTGCTTTAGAGCCGTTGTCGCTGAAGACGCCCGTGTGTGGAGTCTGCGTATCTACACTCGCAGAATGGTCCTTAGTGCTAGAGTCATTTGGGAAAATTAAAATCATAAACCTAATCAAAACATTCTAGGTGGAAATAACCAAAGGATGCGATTCCCATCAATTACATAAATGTAGGTCAACGTCCGTGGCAGAAAGAAAACCTTTCTTATAGTTCTTCACGGGTCCATTATCAGCTCCTCATTGTCAAACTTGAGCCCGATTCCTTCATACCTAGACTGTCGTCAGAGTGGAACCAGCTGTCCTCATTATTAGTGTCAATGCCCTCATTACATTTGTTTAAAACTGCAGTAAATAATTAATTCTGCATAAGTGTCCCGTGAGTGGATTTTGCTTTTGTCTATTACAATGTGACCCACTCCCCTCTTTAAAGGGGCTGTGCAATGATATTGCTGCGCGCGCAGCTGGCCAAGTAGGCAGCGTGCACGTGGCCTAACGGTTATCGCGCCCACCTCCCACGTGAAAAGCCACGGTTCGATTCCTGGGAGCGACGCACCTTTTGTTATTCCTGCAATTTAGTTTTCTGGTAAATTCGAGAACCCTGTTGCTTGTTCGAGGTCCGAATGTTCTACGCGTCGAACATTCTACGCCGACTATTCCAGAAGCTCACTCGTGTACGTAAGGGGCTTCGCATAGCGAGCCAGAGTCAGTTTCGCCTCAGCATTCGATCGTGCTGCTTCGCCGCCTTCGACGCCCGCGACGCTCCGTTGTTATCTGTCTTATTCCTTTTATTTTTGGGCACAAGTTCGCCCCCATTAAACGTTCAGATTACTCAGTCATCCGCTGCCTCATCACTTGTCATTCGTAACAATATTAACTTTTCACGAGCGGCACTAGTGGGACCCAAGTATACTCGCATGCAATGCCCCCTCCTTTGTTGCATTTCAAGGACAAACGCGAGCGTTTTATTCCGATTTCTCCTTCGCAAAACTTGACGACGTAGCTGGGGGTTGCAGTGATGATATTTGAATGCGGCTCGTAGGTTGGACCCAAGCATTGCACGAGCACTCCATTTGGGCTTGTGATAATCGATAGCTCGACAAGCATTCGGGCAGTGGCCCGTGTCCAATCGCTGCAATGACAACAATTGCCAAACCATAACAATATCTGGAACTTGGGCTGTGTTCTGCACCTTGCCGACCCCACCGCATGGCTATGATCAACACTGACAGCATGCAATCGGCTCCAGATCACGTGGCTGCTTGTTCGGGCTGCGAGTTGAGAGGGTGAACGCCACTCATTTTCTTTTAATGCTTTCTGCGACTCCTATTGCATGTGGCACGTGGCAAATCATGCCCAACGTTTCGAAGCCGGCTTGGCTCCTCGTTTACGGTCAACTGTATATCTGCGTGCGCACTTTTGACACGCCCTCAGGGTCCGCTCCACAGAAAAGTCACTTGAAAGGAAAGTCGATTTTATAAAACGAGGCCTCCCCAAAAACAGCTACCCAACAAGATTCGTCAACAAGGTGACACTACGTCACCCTCCTGCAGCCAAGAACACAAACATCTCCGGCTGCACGTGCGTCCTGCACCTCCATGGCACGAGCGAGGCCCTCGCCCGCTCTCCGAGACTGTACGGCATCGCGGTTACACCCGTCTCAACAACAGGCCATCGTCTTCCTCTCCCAAAGGGCCGTCCCCCCCCCAAAAAAACTGTCAGCCTTTCCACTTTGGTGAAGAAAGAAGACCAGCGAAGCTGTACCATGGTGGGAATGAAGTAATGGCCAGACGCAAGTCGGCAAGCCAGAGTGGAAAGGCTCGAAAGGTGGCCGCCATCTATGAGCGACGGCAGCAAGCGGACAACCGGCAAACACGAAACTCTGGACAGCTACCGCCATCTATGAGCGACGGTGGCAACCAGAGTTTTGTGTCGACATTTGGTACTGGACACAATCCTGGGGAACCTAGCCCTTAACAGCTCCACTGTAAAAGCTCAAGGACTAGTTTACTCGATTTCCTGCGTGAATGTGACGTATGCAGGGGAAACGAGTAACTTTCCCGAACATCTGCAAGACGTCCGAGGCAAATCCGGCGGAACGTGCTGAGAAGACCGGCCACGTCGTGGCCTTCGACGGCAGTTCTTTCACCAACAGAGAAGGAAACTGGGGGAGACGGCTCTTATTAGATTCTTGGCATCTACAGAATACCGGCAACAACCTGAGCCAAACCACCAAAACGCTGTCAAGCAGCTGTATACGCGGGCTGCGATGCGTCAACGCAAAAACAAAAGAAACAATACTGGCAAAAAGAAGAAAATGACAGATTGCGACTTTTGGGTCCACATCTTTGGGTCTACATACCCACGAACAAGGAGTCAAGCCGGCTTTGAAACGTCGGGAGAGATGAAAATTGATTAGAGCTTACTAAGTGCCCCCTTGTAAATTTTAAAGAATAATTACCAATGCTCCTAAAACAAAATAGCACTTTTATTGATTTAGTTAGTTCGTTAATCCCGCACAACATGCCCAATAAATAACGTGTCCTTCCTATGCCACGTGAATCGGCTCGTTCTCAACATACACGCGTCCGCGCAAAAAAACTGCAGTCTAGCTTTTTTTTTTTTTTTTTTTTTTTTGCATTAAAGGGGCATTGACACACACGAAACATTTATGTTTATGCTTTGCCAGGCGATTTATTATTGTGTCAGAAGACTACCCAATCAATATTTTTCTACAGTGTCACCTACATCTTTAAGAAAGTAGAAAAGTGCAACTGCTTGAACCCGAAACTGAACTGAGGAGGAAGAAGAAATATAGAGCAGAAAGTTACCAAAAATCACATAACTGCACAAGCATTTTTTTTTTTTTTTTTTCAATCAACGTATTTGCAGCTTTTTAAAGCCACAAAAAAATGGATATCATATCATCACCTATTTTTAGTATTGGGTATGTGCCTTCGATGACCCACGACTATCGTAATATTTGATGGTTGTGTCTAAACTGCAGAAAACGGCACGTGACCACGCAGAAGAGTGTGAGCACGACTCAAATTGGCCAGTTCTCGATCGGCGGTTTTGCGAGCGGAAAAATATAAATTTCGAGCTGCGAATTGTGTTCTGGGTAGTTGGGCTCTCATATGTATTGTACAAATAAAAACCTTGGTGAGCATAAATGCCCTGTCAGTGTCCCTTTAAAGGGATGGTGAACCGAAATTTGGATTTCAAAAAAACAATGCTGAAGATGTAGGTGGGATGCTACAATCCCTACAACACTACTAGTAAGGTGATATCTCAAATGGACGGCCATATTTTTGGAAAAAGAAGTCGAGATTGAACCAGGTCGACGAGGTGCGTGACGTCAAGATACCTAGTTTCCTCCTCTCTTTGCTTCGCTCCCCGAAGGCTGCGGGGCGGAGAAGACGCGAGGCCGTTCCCTCTCCTTCTCAGAGAAACACGACGTCAACATTCCTGCCAAATGCGCCTCCTTTTTTGAAAAATACGGTCATCCGTTCGAGATATCGCTGTACGAGTGATGTTTTGGTGTTTGTAGCATCTTGTTGCACGCTTTTGCCGCGTGTTTTGGGGAATCCAGATTTCGGTTCAGCATCCCTTTAAGGGAGTACAGAAGACGAGACCGACATCCCCAGTCGAGCCAGCTTTTTCCCCAGAAGTGCTTCGATGCCCCCTCCTCTTGATTGTGAGCAGAAAGGGCCATCCAAACCGGACGCGGCAGATGCAAGAAAAATGTGTGCGCCTCTTGAAAAGCGTAAAAGTTGTGGCACGCACATACATTTCCAGCTAGGACCACACAGCAGCCCTACTTTCCTAATCCCTTGTTTTCGGAAGGACCGACAACAAAAGTAGAGACCTTACCGACAGCCAGCAAAGCGTGCGAGTTGCTGTCCGGACCCACGTGATGAGCACACTCGAAAAATGCGCCAAAGTGGACCAGACTGAGTAAAACATGCACTCCTGGTCTAGCAAATGATGCGACCACAGAAAACACATTCCGTTAGGATAGCCCTTATTCTGCTGTCCTGTTGGATAGAGCAACCAATGTACGGCACGGTAATGTGCTTCAGTTGGCAATGCTTATTCACCCTTTTCTGCTTGGCAACAAACTCAGTGGCGCCATCTATGGGCTATCCCCAATTCTGGTTCACACATATTTCCTTATCTTTTACTTATCATTCTTTTATCGTAAAAATACAATAACATAACCAATTTCTTTTTTTTTTTTTTTGAAGTGGTTGTGATGTTAACGTTTTGGGGTGCGGAGAGGGGGAGCGCAGGCGCATAGCCAGGAGGGGTGTTCAGGTGTCGGAACACCCGCGAAATTTTGCTTTATTATATATATATATATTGCTCAACATCGTCGAAAAACACTAAAGCAACAAATTGAAGAACGATAGAAGGCACGCAAAGTATTTTACAGCTTTCTGAAAAACCGCACAAATTCGACGGGTTTTTAAGTTTCGATTTGCTATCGGAGCGCATCTCGGCCCCGGCGGCACCGTGCCCCGTGGAGAGATGCATCTAAAAGATGAATAGTTAACTAGAATTAATTAACTTTTTAATTGGAGGCTTTAGGACACATGCTTATATTGCAAAATTGGAGGCGGTCAATGTCGAAGGCTTGCCCAGTTGTTAGAAATCCTGGGCAATCCATCGCCAAATTTTACTCTAGAAACTGTCTGAAACCGAAACCCAACCCTCAAAGTGCCCCAAAAGGGCAACCCCCGTTTCGTACCGAAGTGACGCAAATGTGACGCAAAAAAGCGATGCAA